CCATCGCCGACGGTCAACGCTTCAAGAATGCCTGCGGCTTCGAGGTCCAAGCCCTACACACCCCAGGCCATACAGAAGACCACATGTGTTTCCTCATCACCGCCTCCCCACTTGACCCATCCGAAGTCGGCTCGATCTTCACCGCCGACAACGTCTTGGGCCACGGCACCGCGGTCTTCGAGACCTACAGACCTACGTCGCCAGCCTGGGCATCATGAAAACCGCCGTCTCGAACTCCGCCCATACAACCGTACGTGCCTTCCCGGGCCACGGCGCCGTGATACCGGACGCCAGAGCGAAGATCGCGGAGTATATCGAGCACCGGCATATGCGTGAGCAGGAAGCGCTGAATGTGCTGAAGTACGGCACGCCGAGCCCGCCGCCGGCGGAGGAGGGCAGTGAGGGTTCGGCGGGTGGGTTGGAGGTGGTGACGGGGAAAGAGTGGGGGAGTATGGAGATGGTGAAGGTGATTTATAGGCATTATCCGGAGAATCTGTGGGAGCCGGCGGAACGGGGGTTGTTGATGGTGTTGGAGAAGTTGAGGAAGGAGGGGAGGGTGAAGAAGGGGGAGCAGGGTGGGTGGGTGCTGCTGGAGCAGGCTGCGTTGTAGTACGGTAGCGTCAGGGAGAGGATGGGTGACGAGCAGTGTGGTGCCATGGTCACTTGTGGCGGGCAGGGCTGTTGTTCTTCTTGTCCTGTGTTTTGGCTCTATGAATAGAGGTGGTCTAGATGGTATGGATACCCAAGTTATTTTTCTACACGCCGAACGACCTCATCTGAGGCCTTTGCTCAGCAAAAGAGCGCCCAGAAAAGCCTTCACGCCGTCAGCTACACCCGCAGGAGTTGGCTTGCTGGCACAGACGTCTGGTTCGAAATCGAACTTGTCGATCAGATAGTCTCTTGTGGTTGGACCTATCGTTGCGATGACGAATTCCGTCGGTCCCCCAGCGGCTTGTGAGTCTGACCAACGGTCACGCCTCAAGTGCTCCTTTGCACGACCGTCTTCGTCTAGGAACCCCAATACGCGCAACATGGCTTCGCAGCCTTGAGGGCTGAAGACGACTACCACTGCGATGTTCGATGCGGCGGCCTCTTTTCCCTCTGTCTGTTGCTGCCAGTATGGGATCTCGCTGACCAGGCCCCGAAACTCATTCTCGAAAGCTTCTCTCACTACTGTGCTGTACACTTCCCACTCGTCCACTTGAATGGCCTTGTCGCCAAGCTCAGCATCCATGAGCGTCTTCGGTATGACATCCCTCCTGACCTCGCCCACGAGGAACAGCAATGGCTTCTTTCGCAATCGGTCGTCACTCTGTTCGAGTCGCTGTCTTGCGTACTGGCCTGAAGCTGGCCCGACCAACGGGATGAATGGGAGACGAGGGGCCTCGTAGTACTCGAATAACAGATTGGCATGGATGCCGTTACAATGCTGCAGCATGAATTGCGCTAGAGCCGCGCCATTGCCGGTGTGCTCGCCCAATATGCGAGTGTGTAGAGGATCAAGAGTTGGTGATGGGTAGAGAGTGGAGAGTGAGTGTGCTGTGGCGGGTCCGACGACGTAGAGAGGGAACGGTGTCGTCAATGAAGGCGAGATGAGTGTGGGTGTCCTCTGCTCGGTGGCTGTTCCAAGGACGCCTTCACTGCTGGCCTGCGACTCCGAGTCCAGTTTCCTGACGACATCACTGAAGCCCTCTACGGCCCGCTGACTTGTGAAGATCAGTCCACCATACTTCTCTGTCAGCTGCTGTGTGCGCAGAAGCTTCTCAAGCGAACTCAGACTCTCGGTGTTTTGCTGATGCTCGAGTACTGGAACGAAGTGAGGCACAAATCTCGTGTCTGTGCTCAGTTGATACGGAATGCCTTCGATTAATAGCGCTTTGAAGTATTCTTCATAGCCATCATCCGGCTGTGACCGCGTCTTGAGGAGGAACACCGGCACTTGTGGCATCGTCAAGCATTCGGAAGCGATCTGTTGAGGTTACTGGCTTGTCATGATGCTCACGATCGGTCATGTCGGTCGAAGTCAAAGCATATCCGTCTTAGCTGGGTGCAGCTGACCATTCAACGGGATTCGAAGCCCGGAGCAACGGCGCTTACAGGCACCGCCTCCAACTTCAGCAGAAGTGTAAAACAACAACTTGAACTTGAGGTCCGATTGCTCATCGATGCCAGTGCACCGCGGAGGCGTGTAGGATGATGACATCTCATCTACTGGGTGTCCTGGGTCGAGGCGGCAGGTGCGATGCGGGAGTGCTGCAACCAGGAGGGAGAAGAAGTCATCGCAGCACGAGCCATCTATAGTGCAGTAAACATTGAGAAGGATCCCGTTGGATTTGCGGCTATGTTCCTAGGTTTGAACCTGCATAGACTGCACGTTGCGATAAGCATGTCTGAAGACGACCGCGACAAGTCCAAATTAATGCGAATTAATGGCATGCTGTAGAGAACGAGATCCCGAGCAGTCGGAGGCTGTATCGTGGCACGTTAGGGGTTGCGCTGGACTTGTTAGGGGTGGCCCAACCGCCTGGGCGCTGGAATTCAACCTTGGAAGGTGGCGCCCGACTGGAGATTTTGAGTGTCAGAAGGCAACTCTTAATCAGCCACCCGCTCGCCAACCTGCAGCTCGTCAATACTCGGAAAGCGCCATCCTCTGTTTGTCCTTTGTACGATCTTGTACCTTGGACACATCTCCCTCCCCTCGACAAGTGCACTTGACGACCGACACTCTGCGCGATCGTCTGAATCTATTCTTCACGTCGATATCACGCACTACCTTCACGTGTACACGAAACGACCCCTCCCTCTTACTTATTGCTTAATAAACATCCTCGCGCCTCCGCGTGACTCTACTAGGCCCCTTAGCAACTTGAACACCACGATACAACCGCTTTCCGGACGAGATACCTACGGCCACCCGTAACTGTCATCTGCTGATCACCTACCAAGCAGTGGCTTAATCGAAGCACGCACGCCATGCAGCACCTCTTGACGACGCCGTCGTGATCTCCCCAACCTCCTTGTCGAGGCGACCGATACGAGGTAGCGCCCGACTAATTAGAGATCTAAAATTGCCCGTCGCTCGCGTCCAACAACATTCACAACCACAACGACGAGGAGTGCTGCTAGTCCGCAGCCCTCTTGAGCCGGCTACGCATCATGGCTAGCCCACGCTCGCGCCTTCCTCCGCTGCACACTCGAAACATTAGTACTGTCACCGTCGAATCCGACAGTTCAGATACATCTGCCAACCCTTGCGACGATGACGATACCGACTACTTCATGGCTCACGCCAACGACTCTCAGTCATCGTTAGGCGCAGTAACAGTCGTTCGCGATTGTGATCAACAAGTCGACCTCGAGCAGAAGCACCGCATGACACCTATTGCCAAATTGCCTCCCGAGATCCTCATGGCTATATTCGCAAGACTCACGACGACGTCCGATCTCCGAAATTGCATGCTTGTCTCGTATCACTGGGCTTTATACGCGGTTGGAATACTATGGCATCGTCCACTATGCAACAAGTGGTCGAATCTGCAGACTGTCACGCGGTCTCTGCAGGCAGGCGAAAGATCATATTTCCCATACCACGAAATGGTCAAGAGACTGAATTTGTCAGCGATATTCGACAAGTTGAGCGACGGGTCCGTCACGTCGTTCATGACCTGCAAGGGCATAGAGCGGTTGACGTTGACAAATTGCTCGAAGCTGACTGATTTTGGGGTGTCTGGACTGGTGGATGGATGCCGGAAACTGCAGGCTCTGGATGTTACCGACCTCGAGGCCCTCACCGACGCGACTCTGTCTGTTGTGGCAGACAACTGCACTAAGCTACAAGGTCTGAATGTAACAAACTGCTCCAACATCACCGACGAGTCGCTAGCCCAGATTGCAGATCGATGCCGCCATCTCAAGCGCCTCAAGCTCAATGGAGTCAACAAGATTACAGACGCGTCTGTCGTTCAAGTGGCAAAGAATTGCCGGTCCATCCTCGAAATCGATCTTGCGCAGTGTACTTCAATCAGCTCCGCTTCTGTCACGGCTCTGCTGTCCAATCTGGCGCAGTTGAGGGAACTCCGACTGGCTCACTGTTCAGAGATAACGGATTCAGCATTCGTCAACCTCAATCCTGCGCTGTCCTTTGATGCTCTTCGGATACTGGACCTTACAGCTTGCGAGCAGGTACGAGACGATGCTATTGCTCGAATCATTCCGGCTGCCCCTCGACTGAGAAACCTGGTACTGGCCAAGTGTCGACATATTACCGACCGAGCAGTAGCCTCAATCTGCAAGTTGACCAAAAACTTGCACTACATTCATCTCGGTCACTGCATCAACCTGACGGACGCTGCTGTCATTCAGCTAGTCAAGGCTTGCAACCGCATAAGATACATTGACTTGGCCTGTTGCTCGCGATTAACGGATGCTAGTGTCCGACATCTAGCACAACTTCCCAAATTGCGGCGAATTGGATTGGTGAAATGTCAGAACTTGACTGACACCAGTATCATCGCGCTCGCCAACGGTCCATACATGTACGGACCTGCTACGAGGAAGAACGATATACCATCCCAGTTCGTCTCGTTAGAGAGAGTGCATCTCAGCTACTGCGTGAACCTGACCCTCAAGGTATGTCTCGATGTTGTATGCCAAAATCCTCTTACTAACCACGCGACAGGGCATCACTGCACTTCTTCACAACTGTCCTAGGTTGACACATCTCTCGCTCACAGGTGTACAGGCCTTCTTACGAGAGGACTTGACCAGATTCTGTCGCGATGCGCCGGCCGAGTTCACGCATCCCCAGCGAGATGTGTTCTGTGTTTTCTCGGGTGATGGTGTCCAGCGCCTGCGCGATTACCTGATGCGAATGGCTATGGAACAAGCCGATCGTGAAGGCCGAGATCCAATCGATGATAGTCTATTGGACGGTGTTGAGAGCCCTGGCGTTGACACAATGTCTGACGATGGCACGATCGATGGCAACGACCAGGGTATGGACCTGTCTCTGCCTCCCAGGAGGATCTCTCCTTTCATCAATAACCCTCGACTGAGGGTGCGGCCTCGAAGTCTACACGAGTTGCCAAGCTATCACGTTGAGATGCCACTCTTCAGCAATGATCAGATTCAGCGATATGGTCAATGGACTCCGAATGAGGGACCATCCATTCTAGGGCCTGCCTCGCAGCCGGTCCTCGGCACCCAGCCGATTGATGTCCCGCCATACTCTCGTCGATCACGAAGTCCAGCCGTTCCAGGTTTGACAGAAATGCCACCCGGCCCTGATCAAGACATTCTCGATTCCGCTCGAACGCCATCACGTCGGCATACGCTGGTCGAATCTTCTCATGGCTACTTCGGTCATCAGCCTCCGGCACCGACGATGTTTCCGCCGCAGACTGCCTTTGAACGGTTTGCAGACGTTGTCAGACCTCAGCGACGTCAGCAACCCCAATTTGTGGTGGATGGGCCGGGGCCGGTACCTCCGCATCACGGTGCTCATCTATACGACCTGGGCATGCGAAGTGCTCAGGACATCCGGCAAACATACCTTCGACCAGACCATGACTTCAGTGCATTCGATGCCAATCATGAAGCTATCATGTCGACGATTCCAGCCAGTCGCTCGGCAAGCCGGCACCCTTCTCGATCGAACAGTCCGCATCTGTCAAACCCATCTCGAGTCAGCAGTAGATCGCGCTTGAGCAACATCTTGTCCAGCATAAGAACGAATCCTTTCTCGGGCGCGGAGGGACGAGGACCATTCGGGAGTCGAAGCTTGTCGAGATCACGACGAGAAGAGGAAGAGCATCGGCAGAGAATGCTGCACGCTCTAGCTGAGGCGGATGCTGCTCAGCAGCTTCGGCCTGATGTACGTCGTGCGGAATCGAGTCGCACTGTGGAACTACCATACTTGGTGGGCGAGCAAATCGAGCGTGTTGCTTCTGCTCCTGCACCTCCACCACGAATGCAGGCACCGGGCCCGGGGAGCGGCAATAGGACCTCGCCCCCGCCACAAGCTAGTTCCGAAGCCAGCGAACCAAACGAACCGAACGATGTGACGATGACGCAGTAGATTAGTAGGAAACGACACAGGCCTTGGGAAAGTATGATGTATGAGGGGGGATGCTTTCTGCATCTGCAGGCATATCGACCACAACAAGATCAACAGCCACAAAAATCGAGTATCATGCATCGATACAGCGCTAATGATACGTGGCCTCAAAGGCACACGCCATGCGCTCGTTCTCGGAAATTCTTGGGCTTCGCGATGAAAGCACGGCGTTATTGGAGGGCAAGCAAAAAGGAAGGCTTGTGGCTGGCAGTTGTGGTAATGACTGCCCGCTGGTACATCACTCGAAGCAACAATATTCATCTATAACATCATGATCACTACTCAATCAGAGCCGATCACTTGCATGGAGTTAGGGGAATGTGCTTCCGCGGCTACTTTGCCGACGGTGTGAAGCAGGGATGGAGGGATCCATCGATGGCAGATAAGCTCGCTGGCACAGTGGAAGTCTTTAGATAGTCGACAGCCGATGTCAATCAGTGACTGAAAACACTTCGATAGGCTCGTTTTCGTACACTTCTTCTGCCCGGTGAGTGGCTTCCCATGACGTGCGCAGTTGCAAAGGGGGAGTTGTCATCCGGTCTGCCCAGGGCCGCGAATTTATTCATATTTGAGAAGAGCCTCCCTAGTCGCTACTTCGCTCCTTTTTTCACGCCAAAGCTGCTCTTCTGTGCACTCGACTAGAACGCGATGGTCGCAAAACACGAGCAATGTGGATGCACTTGAAGACATTCGATCATGTAGTGGCGGTCGGACGCGATACAGTCCACACCCATACACGGGTACCCGAGGTTATGCAATGACGATCCCACGGAGGGGATGGGGACTCGAACTCTACAGCAGGTACTGTCAGAAATGCTCGACAGCACAATCGCGAGAGCTGGTCTGGCATCTGACCTTCTACAACGATACTCTTTACTGGTGAGTGAGTGAACATCTTCCCACTTGCGACGCCATTGCAGCAGCCCACCACGTCAAGCAACAACGATGCCGCCGCCGTACGGTCCCGCAGAGCCTATGCCTGACCTCACCAACAAAATCATACTTATCACCGGCGGCGGCTCGGGCATCGGCCTCGCCTTCGCGCAACACTGCTTGCGTCTCTCCGCTCGTGTGGTCATCGGAGACATCAACCTTACTCAGGACGCCAAGAGTACCCTCGACGCCGCCGGGTCGGCGAAAGCAGTCTACAGACGCTGCGACGTCACCTCCTGGGCGGACCTCCACGACCTTATCAGCGCCAGCGTAGGCGCCTTCGGTGACGTGCCCGATGTGTATGCGCCCGTAGCGGGGATCTTCGAACCCGGGTGGTCGAATTTCTGGGACGAGGGTATGGTCGAAGGCCACCCTGACTATGAAGGCGGCTACCGCACAATGCGAATCAACGTCGACCACCCGATCCACCTCACCCGCCTCGCCCTCAAAGCCCTGGCCGGCGCAAACAAGCAGGGCGTTGTATGCTTGGTTGCGTCTACAGCGGCGATTCGTGCGGGGTATTTGTTTAGCTTGTACAGCGCGAGCAAGTGGGCGATCAGGGGGTTCGCGAAGAGTATGGCGCAGGCAGATGTCGAGGAGGGGGTTAGGGTGGTTTGTGTCATGCCGGGGTTGGTGGATAGTCCGTTGTGGCGGGATCGGCAGGACAAAATTATGGAGTGGGCTAAATATGATATGAGGAGGGGGCTGATGCCGAAGGATATTGCGGAGGTTATGGTCAAGATGGTGAGGGATGAGGGGGGATGGTGTAGTGGGGGGACGTGTGTGTTGAAGACGGTGGATGAGGAGAGGGTGTTTGAGAAGGGGTGGAGGGAGCGGGAGAAGGAGTATGATCCGAGTCCGAGGCCGGATGCGGATTTGACACGGGTAAGGAACGCCTTGGATGGAGAGAGGGGGAAGGGTTGGAAGAGGAGGGAGGGAATGGTAGCTTAGCTTCGAATTTGCTATCGATGTCAGGAAGCCTCGTGAAGCCCACCTGGGCAGGAAATATCGGCTGAACGACTTTCAATGTCTAAGAAGGTGTCTCTCTAGTCGATAGTGACGACCTCATGTCTGGAAAGCACCCCCAGGGAAACCTCTGGCTGTATTCTCAGTACTGAATGAATGGCGTCAAGTTCAGCCATTCCTTCTTCTTCTTGCCCTTGCCCTTACGTTTCGACTCCACCGCCACTCCCATTGTCGCTTCGGCAGCGCGCATGGCTTCTGTGGCGTTGAGGAGACCTCCGTCGACAAGACTTGGCTCCTTCAGCGGTTCCATGAAGGCCTCCTGAGCTGCTACCTTTCTTTGCACTTCCTCTTGGTCAATTTCGTGGAATGTGCGAGGCCGTACAGGGGATTCCCGAGGTGGAGAGGGCTTGTATGGCTGTTTCTCGTTGTTGGGGGCGCCAGAGGCCGCCTGGCAGTGTTGCGCAGTAGCGGAACCGCCGAGATCGATTAGCTCGGCTTCATCGGTCGGAGGACCCGTAGGGAGGACTCTGCTGGCTTGGTTCTGCTGCCTGCGTGGCACCGGAGTGAGAGCCGGCTGAAGAGTAGTCTGTGGGGAAGAACGCGCAAGATCGTGGAGCATGTCTTTCGCTGATAGATCCTCGTGAACCTTGTTGCCCGTCTTACTGTCCAGAGATGGCCACTGCTCGTGGGCTTCAACCGGCATCGGAGGTGGAGTTCCGTCCCAGCCAGATGTATCAGGACCATACTCAGGGCTCGTGGTCGTGCCAGTAACGTCTGACCCGATATCCGAACTAATTTGACTGCCTAAATGGCTTGTGGTGATGTCTGCCCATGTTGAAGGACCGGAAGTGTCGCTTGCATCGGTTTGAGAGCGCTGTGAGACTGAGCAGCTGGTGGTGGATTGGGGTGGTCTTCGGGGCGGAAGTGACGCGCCATTAAGCCGGCGACTGTGAGAGGTGTAATTCGAGCCTCGAGGAGGGCGCCGAGGGTTCGAGTGCAAAGCCATGTCAGTCGTCGTGAGTGAATAATGGCTACAGGAATGTGAGATGCCGTTTCTCTGACGGTGTTTCGTTCTTACCTGCGGGTCGGAGGACCGTTCACACAGAGCCCTCCCTGATGCAAGAGCGACTGAAGTTCGAGCCCAAGTACCTACATCACTCGCCACGACAAGATACCTTGTAAGTGCAGGTGCATCGTGCCAAGAGTCTCAAATCAGCATCAACGAGACCTGAATTCGTGCTGCGCTTTGAGGTTTCTGCGCCTTTACTGTTGCCTCATTTGAGCCTTAGATAGTCTGCCACTTCTTCGAATATCTGGACAGCCAAACCTCCCAGGGCAGCCACCTCTGATTGCGACCCAGGCATTACACCTCCAGGACACAGATATACTGGAATCAAACCCGCCTCCGAAGCACCAACACAATCTTTCTTGAAGTCATCACCCACATGGATCCATCGCACACCTTCGGTAGAAGTCCGATCAGCAACAAGTTCATCAAGCGGCACTCCAACGAGAGCTGCCATGGACTCTTTGGCGTTCCAAAAGATGGCAGCATCGGGCTTCTCACTACTTGCCTCGTAACTTGTGCAAACAAAATCGATGTCATTCTCCGGATCGTACATGGCAGGTGGACCCGGCGGACCCTCGCCAACTTTGAGTCCCAGATCGCGCAGAATCGCGGATACACGAGGGTCTGAGTTGGATATGACACAGGTCATCCAACTGGAATTTGCCAGCTCGCCCCTCGAGCCTCTCAGTTTCTCGAACATAGAAAGCACCCCAGGTCGTAGCTGATACGCTGCGCCAGACGCGAAATGCTGGTACGTCTCCGATCCTAATTCTGTTGGAATCGATTCCACTGGTAGAAGACGGCGGAAAGTCGAGTGCACGAGTATTTGCCACCAGGTCTCTGGGCTGTCAACTATCTTGCTGCCCTTCCCATAGTTTGGCCATGATAAGGATATCTGCTTGTAAGCAGTCTTGAAAGCTTGCTGGAGGTCAGATTCGGCGATTGGAGCGGTAACACCACATCTGCGAGCAACTTTCAGGTATTGCGTGGCGATCGGCTCCTTGAAGTCGAATAGAGTGCCCAGGGCATCGAAGGAGAGGTAGCTCCCTCTGAAAACCCGCTTGACCGACGTCATGGAAAGACCTTCATGAGCATTATGAGATACTTGACCAATACTCTCGGCACGGCTGAGGACTTCTTTTGGACCAGGATAAGCGCTGGTGAAGGGCAAAAAGCATAGTCGTGGTCCCCGGGAGTCCTTCAGTCGTGTACCTAGGCAGGGTAGTGGTTGACGATTAACTCCGTAAATTCCGCAGCGCTTCATGTCTCCTCTGAACTTTCGAACACCGTCTACCTGAGCACAGTACATCACCACATCTACTGTTCACAAGCTCACGTCGCAGCCTAGTGCTGCCCAGACTGCCCATCATGCGCAACAAAGCCACCATGGCCAGTAAACGGCCGGTAAGCCACCCTTCTATGCCCACAACTTGCCCGCCGTCACTGACTTTCTTGCCTCAAGCGCATGCGCATGTCGATGAACAAAATCAACCTGTACAACATGTCACGGCTGCGGTCCCCTACTCATCCTACCGTCGCCCGCACGCAGAACTTTTTCAAGCAGAAATGGGTAGCCAAATCCGAGCTGCGGTCCTACCACGGTGAATTCGTCCGAGAAGGACAGTGGGAGCGCATGTTCAATCGCCGGTTAGAATCAGTCGTGCCGATGGATGCAGCCTACATGGCGGTGAACGATGGTTTTGTGGAGTCGTCAGGTAGAGGGAGTGGCTTGAGGCAAAAGGGAGGTCGAAAGAAGGAGTTACAGCGGACGCCATATATGCTGCAGACTTTTGCGCCGTTGGAGAGGAGACTCGATATCGCGCTGTTTCGCGCGCTGTTTGCGAGTAGTGCGCGCCAGGCGAGGCAGTTTGTGATCCACGGAGGGGTCACGGTGAATGGGAAGAAGGTAAGAGCTGCCAGAACTGCGTGAAATGGTCGACATTGGGACTAAGCGGGGCGTGTAGATGACATATCCGGGCTATCTCCTCAACCCCGGCGACCTCTTCCAAGTCGAGCCCCGTCTGGTCATGTACGCACTCGGCAAGCCGAAAGTACGAGAAGTGGAAGAGGAGGCAGAGGAAGAAGACGAAGCAGAGACATCAGCCGCAATAACAGAGGAAGCAGACGACTCAGACGCAGCCGCTGCCCCCGAAGAAGACCGCACCCCTAAAGAAATCCTCAAATCCCTCCTCGCACAATCAAAGTCCATTCTTGCAGACTCGAAATCGACCATGAGCGGCAAGCGGAAACAAGAGCTACGAGAATTTTCGAAAGGCGTGAAGAAGTTAATGTCTAAAGCCGGCAGGCAAGACGTTGACACCTCGTCAATGACAGAACAGTTCGCCACAATCGAGGAACAGCTCGAACTGGCACTCGAAACCAAGGAAGCAGCCGCTAAAGGCCAATCTCCACCAACATCACAACCCGACCAAGCACCACCACCAACTACCTCCTCAGAATTCCTCCCCACAGACGCCGAATCCCTCCGCGCCGCCCTTCAACAAGTCCACATCGACGATTCGAAACCCTATGCCACACCCTGGACACCCCGTGACTTCCTCTCCGCGTTCGCCTTCATCCCGCGGTATCTCGAAGTCAACCAGAATATCTGCGCCGCCGTGTATCTGCGGCATCCGGTGGCAAGACCGGGACTGAGCGAGGTGCCCAGTCCGTTCCCGGAGGCGGCCAGCGCGAACGCTTTTGCTTGGTATCTGCGGAGGCGGTAGTCACACCAGGAGCTTCCGTGTTAGGGAGGACTCTGGAGCAGTCTGGAAAGAAGAGCCGGTTCGAGACTGTGTACACAAAAGCAATGTACGATTAATAGTAGACCAGGGGCTAGACTATTGCATATACAGAAGAGCAATTTTTCATCGTCTGGCGATGGATTACACGGAACAGACGGAGTTCCTAAAGCATTGTAAGCTATCAAGTATTCGACTTATCTCAATATGCGAGCTGTTCACGCTTCGATCATTTTTGGGGTAGAACTCAGCCACATTTGCTCGTTGCTAGTTTGTGGATCTAGTATCGAGTGCCAGATCGTTATTATCGAAGATAGCGGTGCAGTATATTGAAGCGAGCGATGATAACTCCATGACTTTCTTCCTATAGCGTATCTGTAGACGTCGCTGTCGTTTCTGTATATGCAATACGCAAGCATCGATAAAGCGGCAGCATGTACATAATCAGTGGCTCAGATTTCTCTTTCGCAGATCCACTGAAAGCGCAAGACTCAAACCTTGGAAGACTCGGGGCGTTGTGTTTTCCTTGGCGCCCACCCCGCCTGCTCCACTTGAGCACTTTCCACCCCTCAACTTCAAGCTCCGAGTCCCTACTTCCTCCTGTCGACACCATACCTTCTCTTTGTTGACCATCAGCTACATCTCTGATCGCGGTCGACTGCCCGCATCTCTCTCTTGCTTCTACCGATGCCTCTGTCCTCCGCCTTCTCAATGAACGATCTGATCGTACTCGCCTCTCCGCCCTCCCTACCTCTCCCGCTTGACACCGTGTCCTCTTCTTGTCAGACTTCAGCTGCAACGCAGCTGGCGCTCCGCTTCCGCACCTCTTTTCAGCTTCTACTGACGGTGCTTTACTGCGCCGCAAACATGAGCAAGTTGATCGGACTCTACTTCCCGCCACTCTGTGCTGCTCTGACTCAACACCGTATCTTCCGCTCGATGGACTTCAGCTGCGCTCCAGCTGCAACTTTAATTATGCTCCGCTCCACCCCTTCCTGATTCTCCTGGTCAACACCGTAGCCTCTTCCTTCAGCTCGGCGGAGAGCGTACAGGCAGCGAGCATTCGGAGCGCGTTCAGTGGACAGATGTGTGTTTCTAATGGGACTGTGCAGACCTGGTGAGTCAGACCGAGGAGGCCTTCGAATGCCGTGGAAGGCCTCCTCGAGCTACAAATATGGCTCCCGATCCCTTGCTGCTTTTGCTTGCGCCCTTCATCCTTCAAATCACACTGAACGGAAACACAACTTCTCGCTGCTGCTTTTGCTCTAAGCCAACTCAGCACTACCACCACAAACACAACCATCAATCAAACAATCAAACAAACAGCAATCATGGGCTTCTTCTCTCGCCTCTTCAGTCGCTTCGGCTCTCGGTCTCGGTCTCGGTCGCGGTCTCGATCCCAACTCCGACCCAGCACCCGCCTCAGCCAACAATCAAGGCCCCAGGTGGTCCGACAGCAGCACGACACGAGCAGTTTCGTGATTCCTCAAAACTCACGGGTGGCCGGTGCTCGCGTTCCCTCTGCGAGGCACGTTCGGAGCCCTATCAACTACCAAGTCCCCATCACCACCACAGCTGGCAAGCAGTAAGTAATCACCGTTCCCGGACGCTTTCCTGGCGAGATGCAGGTCGTCGATGCTGTTGCGGGACAAATAGAACCTGAATTGGGAAATCCAGCTCCTTGATCCGATTGAGAAGCTGAATTTCCCGATTCGGGTTTCATCTGTTCCGCAACAACTTCCATGTCCTGTATCTCAACGAGGAGGCTCATTCAGCATGCCTCGTCGACAGCATCGTCATCTCCCCGTCCTTCTGTTCATGTCAGCACCGTCTCACGACCTCACCGTCGATGACTTCGCCGTCTTTCACCTCATCGCTCCTGCTTAGCTCGTCACTGACCAAGTTCCAGAGCTACGACCCGTCCAAATACTGCGTCACAGCCATCGGCACAACAGCCTAGACGCGCACCTGGCACAAGTCAGCAGCCCACGACCAGGACGACGTTGGAGACCACGTCACAACGATTGGCACAACAGCCTAGACGCACACAGGGCACGAAACAGCAGCCCACGACCAAGACGACGTTGGAGACCGCGTCACTACGATTGGCACAAGAGCTTAGACGCACACAGGGCACAAGTCAGCAGCCCGCGACCAGGTCGACGTCGAAGATAGCTTCACAACCATCGGCACAACAGCCTAGACGCACACAGGGCAGCACAAGTCAGCAGCCCACAACCAATGACAAAGCAACAAAGACGATGGCATCGAAGACCACGTCACGACCATCGGCAAAACAGCCTACACGCACACAGGGCACGAAACAGCAGCCCGCTCGCGAGCAACTCGGTCCAATCGCACCAGCAATAGCACCCGCAAATCTGGGTGCTTGGGGACCACCGTGGTGCGACACAACAGTAACGACCTTTGGCAGTGTGTACCCGACCATGAGTCCTGAACACCACGAGGCAATAATTCAGACCGACGATGCGCCACCGGCACCACAAACAATGCCAGGCGCTTGGGGACCCCCTTGGTGCGACACGGTCACAGACGCGACTATGCAACCAGTCTTCAATCATCAGAAGGAGTTCTATGATTATGTGACGCCACGAAACTACCCAAAGCAACGTCGAGGGGGTCACTAGCGCGATACTGCGACCAAAACAACAAAAACAACAAAAACAAAACAACCAAGACGAGACATATCACCTCGTCGGGATCATCAGCACAAAGCGACTGTTCTCTGAAACCGACTGTCCTTCAGAAGCGACTATTCTACAAAAAGCGACTATTTCTCGGTTGTGCTTGTGGCGAAAGGGAGTGCCAGCCTCCAGAACGTCACGAGTACAGCCTGGCCTTCAGAGGCAAAACGGCTACAACGAGAGCGAGAGAGACTCAAACAATCAAACAATCAAACAAATAATCGAACAATCAATCGAGACTCAAGGTATGGAGTGCTAGCTATGGGCTTATGGGTGTTTAATGAAGCAGGAATGGAGAAGGTTTACCTGATGAGTGTCAGGGGTGGAGGGTGCTGAGCATATGAAAACTGTTAGGTGTGCCTGTGGAAAGGATTGAGGTTGATAGTGGACGGGATAGGGGTTTGATCTGACTTCCATTGGGCAGCGGCAATTTTCTCGCCGCCTACAAGATCAACACGGGTATACATCAATGGTGTTTGTACATGAAGAGTAGGTGTACAGCACGATTAGTCCACAATATATCATCACCTCAGAAATCAACTTCCTGCTGCATCTTGCATCGTGCCGAAAGCCATATCCCTTGTGACCTCGTCGCCGTGAATCAGGAGAAGTCTGGGTTGTGATGTCCAGGCGTGCCGGTGTCTCTGACCTCGCCTCTAGGTGTGCCTGTAGTAGGCGGGCTTCCCCTTGAGTAGGCGTCTCTCTAGGCACAGTACGCCTAAGCAGTCACGCCAGCGCGTAAGAATTCTACATTAAGGAGGTGCCTGAAGTGCGATCTCTGGGCACGCCCATGAGCCTTGTCCACGCGTGCCGAAATGTCCCCGCGAGCCACTTGAGATCTGCACGGTTTGGTCGATCCTGGAATCAACATTCTATGGTCGGTTGGAAGTCACACAGGTCGAATCCCTCGACTATAGGAACTGTTTGCCCTGTTGGCAGAGTGGTGTTTCCAATGTCATCGACCTAAGCATTCAACCAGATTCCAGTGAGAAATGACTCGGGAAGCCGATGTGTACCTGCAGCTGCTTACCTAACATCCCACCTGTGCTACTGCAAGATTAAGTGATCGAACACTCCAGACATTTGAAACTCGCAGAACATTTGTCAAATTCCCACTTAACACCACTGATGATCGCAAAACCTCTCATTCTCTAGATCTGTTCAAAATATCGCACATCCACATATCTTCCAGCTGCCGTCCCCCGCTCTTCATCACTACACTACCGCCAAACTGTCCGCCCGCACCTTCTTCTCCCGCTTCACCCAACCCCTCCTCAGATCCAGCACTCCCCTCTCCATCGGCCTGACCACCACGATCCAACATCAGCACTCCCTCTCTACAGTTCGCCCAGCATGGCGCCCAAACACGCCAAAGTCGCCATCATCGGCTCCGGCCCTGCCGCACACACCGCCGCAATCTACCTCTCGCGCGCCGAACTCAAACCCGTCCTCTACGAAGGTTTCCTCGCCGGCGGGACCGCCGCAGGCGGTCAGCTCACCACCACCACCGACGTCGAGAACTACCCCGGGTTTCCGCAGGGGATCGGCGGGCCAGAGCTGATGGAGGCGATGAAGGCGCAGTCTGAGCGGTTTGGGACGGAGATTATTGGGGAGACGATCGCGCGGGTGGATCTGAAGAGCAAGCCGTTCCGGTTATGGCGCGAGTATGAAGATGGGGAGAGCGATGAGCCGGCGCATACTGCTGACGCGGTTGTGATTGCGACGGGGGCGAATGCGAGGAGGTTGAATTTGAAGGGCGAGGAGGCGTATTGGCAGAACGGCGTGTCGGCGTGCGCGGTCTGCGATGGTGCAGTGCCCATCTTTCGGAACAAGCCCCTCGTGGTGATCGGTGGTGGGGACTCGGCGGCTGAAGAGGCGATGTTTTTGACAAAGTATGGCAGCCACGTCACTGTGCTTGTGCGGAAAGGCGAGCTGAGGGCGAGCAAAACTATGGCGAAGCGGTTATTGGCGCATCCCAAAGTCACAGTCAAGTTCAACACCGAAGCGACAGAGATCACGGGCGAGAACAAGCCTAGGGGTCTTATGACGGGGTTGACGATCGTCAATAATAAGACACAAGAGACAGAGTCGCTACAAGCGAACGGGCTCTTCTACGCTGTAGGCCACGACCCGGCCACCGCATTGGTCAAAGGCCAGCTCGACTGCGATGAAGAAGGGTATCTCCTTACGCAACCCGGGACATCCTACACGAGCATCCCGGGCGTGTTTGCCGCTGGGGACGTGCAAGATAAGCGGTATCGGCAGGCGATTACGAGTGCGGGGAGTGGGTGTATTGCGGCGTTGGAGGCGGAGAAGTATCTTGCGGATCTGGAGGATGAGAATCCGCTGGAGCGGGAGGCGAGTAAAGGGGACACGCAGAAGGCGGAGGTCAATGGGGAGGGTGATAAGAAGAAGGATGGGTTGGAGTATAAGAGTAATCCACTACTGTGAATGGATTCACGAAGGATGGAGCCATGCTACGTACGATAGAGCATTAGAGAGCGCCAGTGGCATGGAAGGTTGTGGATGCAAGATGGGTAGAGAGCGAAACACTGCAAGGCTATGAGCCTGCTGGGATGATATTGTGGAATACAGTCCTTGTGTTCTCAAATGTGGCCTTCATTGATTCGTGGTAGTTTCTTGATACAAGCTGAGACGCGTGGAGTGCTGATCTGAGAACTCAGCACGTCCACGATGTGTAGCGAAGATCCCGCCGTAATGACACAAGAGTGCTGATCCAACCTCGTAGGCTCGTTCTCCATCGCTTCATACCAATGAAGCCCGATTTTTCAGGCAGCAGCGTCGTATCTCAGAGCTCAGTCCGCGCACTGTCGTTCTAGTCTGTGGACTGAAAGAGGGGTCGTGATGAGTGAATAGTCGGGCATACCTCTCTGCGACGGTTTTTGGCCTCGCACAAGGCTCGTTCGCTTCTAATCGGCAAACCGTCAGATACCGGGAACATTGAGGCGATAAACAATAAAGATCTCCCTACACCGTGTCCAGTAGCCTCTCGCGCCTCAAGTGCGTCTCACGCTGCAACGTACGATTCCACCGCAGTAGCCCCATAATGCAATCACGACATCTTGCTCCTCAACATCTCTCGCCCCGTCATCTCAACCCTGCACCACACCCCAAAAATAATCCGCATAAAACCACCTCGAAAACTTCGGATCAATATTCACAACATGCACATCGCCCTTTCGACTATCCCCCACTGTCGCCTTCCCACCGCCCTCATCCAACGTAATCCCCAAATTCCGATACAGCCACAACCGCAACACAGTCGGATCATCCGCCTCCCGACTCCTCCTCGCCCGCTCATCGCCCTCCACGCCTTGCTCCTCCAACTCTCCCAGTCGCAACCGCAAATGCTCTAGCTCAGCCTCCAAACGTTCATTCTCAACTTCGAGATCATTCGTCTGCTTCGCCACCCTGAACTTCCGATCGTCCAATCCCAATATCTCGGCGGAGTGCGCGTTCGGGCTGTATGAGGACGTCAGATCGCGATGTTGGGTCGATAGGTGTGCGTGTTGGCGCGCAAGACGCCGCAGGGCGTCAGCGGCGGAGGTGATGCGCATAGAGCGCATTTCGCGGATAGTGGACAGGGACTCATCGATGCGGTTCAGGGCGAGCTTGTCGGGGTGGATGTTGAAGTTGGAGACGCAGTGGGAGATTAGTTCTGCGTGGGACTTTTCTTCGGTGTAGAGCATTTTGGGCGGTTTCTGGGAGGAAGTGATGGTGTTTGTATTGTGGTTCTGAGTGTGCGATCGCAGAGTCGCGGGTCAAAAGTTGTGTATAGCACAGAAGGATCAGTCTGAAGCGCATTCAGAGGCAGTGGTAGAAGTTGGAGACGATTGTTTTGGTTCCAAATCGGGTTGCTATGGAAAAGCGCCAAGCCACGTGCTCGGAAATGGCGTCCACGGATCTGGTGCCCGGCGACGTCATTTGAATTCTGCGCCACTCGTCGCTGTTGCCTGCGCCACATTTCCTGTTCTTCTCATACGACCTGCTTTTGCATGTAAATGCGACCGTATATCCTATCCTTAGCTCATCTGTCATCCTGAGCCCCCATTTTGTTACCGTACTCGACACCACAGCCCATAACGGCTACAGTATGAGCGCCAATCTGCCATGTAAGCTCACTATCGTTCTACAATCTGTGATCAAGAACTGATCAGAACGCAGATGCCGCAGATGCGGAAAGCCCATTGAAACCAGCAGAACTTCAAGTCCTCCGAGGGCAGTATGAAAAAGAAGGCGACTACGTTGCGTCCAGACCAAGTTCAACTATGCCTGGGGCCTCATAAAATCGCACAAACGTGAAGAGCAGCAACTCGGAGTGCAACTCCTCTCCGACATATTCAAGACTACGCCGGAACGAAGGCGAGAATGCCTCTACTATCTGGCCTTGGGCAATTACAAGTTGGGCAACTACGCTGAAGCACGGCGGTACAATGATTTGCTGCTGGAGAAAGAGCCGGGGAATCTGCAGGCCAGTAGCTTGCGGCAGTTGATCGATGACAAGGTGTCGAAGGAGGGTCTGATGGGCATGGCTATAGTGGGCGGTGCCGTTGCTGTTGCTGGGATTGTTGGTGGGATGTTGATGCGGAATTCGAGGCGGAGATGAGGTGGAAAAATTGGGAGCATGGATGGCAGAGACCGAAGCGAGTTGAAAGGTAGGAGGGGGAGCCGCTGTTGAGTTGGGAACGACAGCGTGATGGAATCCTACAGCCAGTTTGATACACCCTTTTGCAAGCAAGCGTTACGAATTGTCTCGACTACGGTCTTTTTCACTGGATCCTTGGACCACTCCCGAGCGGAATCCCCCAGCATTTCTGCCTCGCTGTATGTTCTTGATATCGATTTGGATGTAGTCCGTTGAGAGCTGTTAGGTATGCCCATTTCCACTCATGTGATCTGACACGAATATAAATGCGCCTTGCATCAATGTGTCCAAGAGTGCAGAACATCCCAATTGTCTATTGCATCCTAATCATCCCGGATATCCTGCCAACTCAGAACTCGTCAAAGCCGTACCAATGGTTGAATCACCGAGGAAACGTGTCCAGTGAAGTACACAGCCCATGTATAGAAGCATCGAGAAGAAGATCCGAGTCAGCGCCGATGTTGAAATTGTGGGGGAGTCATGCGGCAACGTCATTTTGGTCGCCCTCAGCAAGCGCCTCACAGACGCACGACTGAACTTGATTTGCCGCATTGAATCGCCTTGCCTTGTGACGATTACTGCCTGGCCAAACCACCTGCATACGACGACGCTCTCACCTCTTGGGCGCATTCATCGCATCGTTGGCCTAGCTCCTCTTCCATCTATCATTTACTGCGACTATCTCTAAGGCGCATCACTATCCAGACAACTGCCATATCCATCCGCCGCAGTCTACCTAACAGCAAGCGGCGTTGTTTGACATTTGTCATATTGCGTTCCACCTGGCAATCAAGGATTCGCTTCCTTTCGCAAACGACTACCTGTCCGCCACCATTGCGATATTTCGTGAACTCGCCTCCATGAGGGGACGCCACTACCGATAGCCCTACAGCCATGTCCGACCCTCGCCGCCTCGACGGCGAGCGTGTCTACTGTCATCAATGCAATCACGAATGGGACCGCGCCCACGGAGGCCTAGTGTGCCCTCGGTGCGAAGGCGAATTTACAGAAATCGTAAGTCTGCACCAGAACTTCATCAAGACCTAGCCTGACCTTCTTCAGCTCAGCGGCGATGCGAGACCGGACAATGACCTCCCCGACTTGGTAGACGATGGCCCTCACAATGTTCCACTCGATTTCGGATCCTTCACACCTCCGAGATCAGCCCCACCATTCGAGCCGGAGCAGGCACGGCGTATGCGCACACCATTCGACCAACACGATCCATGGAGGGATGTTCCCGACCCGGAGGAAGGAGACATAAGTACATGGAACTTCAACACACCCGGCGGTGGTCGCGGCACATTCTCGTGGACGTCAAGAACGTACACAACCACACGTGGTGGGCCAAACGCATTTCCTCAACCATTTATGTTCGGGAACGGGCCTGCATTCAGTCAGGGCTTCGGAGGCTTTGGCGGATTCGGAGGCCAGGCGCGAGGTCCTCCACAACCAGGCAACATGCAAGATCTATTCTCCGCCGTATTCTCGACAATGCAGCAGGCACAGATGCAACATGGAAACCAAGCCAACAACGCACAGCGCGGCACCTTCATCTTCGGCACTGCTGGCAACGGGGCTGCACAGCCTCCAGGCAATCCATTCGACTTGCTTAGTGCCATCTTCAACCCTGGCAATGCGAGGGCAGGCGATGCTGTCTTCTCTCAAGAAGCGTTCGATCGCATCTTAGAACAACTCGCGGAGCAGGGTCACAATGCACCACCACCAGCATCGGAGGACGCTATCAGATCGCTGCCCAAGAGGAAGCTCGAAAAGGCTGATCTGGGAGAAGATGGCAAAGCCGAATGCTCAATATGCATGGACAACGTCGAAATCGGCACAGAAGTCACATCTTTGCCCTGCAACCACTGGTTCCATGAGGCATGTGTAGTTGCTTGGCTGAAAGAGCATGATACATGTCCTCATTGTCGGCAGCCAATCTCCAGTCACGAAAACGCAACCGGATCTGGGTCAAGGCAACGCCGACCGAGCCGCCGATCAAGCTCAATATCAGCCGCCCATCCGTACCGGTCGTCAGAGATGGGCTCAAACACTGGTCCAGAGAACATGCAGGACCGCGCGGACCGCCTCGCGCAGATGTGGCAACGGAGAAACGAAGAACGAGATAGAGCACGAGACGGCATGTTCGGAAGACGCACGAGCAGTCCTCAACGACGAAGTCCGATTGAGCCATCACCTGCACAATATTACGGAGGAACACATGAGAGTCCAGACTACTACTCGGGTCGACCGGAACCGTCCCGAAGGAGATCTGGCAGGCCTGAATCCCAGAGGAGTTCTAACAGTAATCCGGGGATGTGGGGATGGGTAAGGGATCATCTTCCAGGCGGAGGCGGCAATACTCGGTAGCATCAGCTGATTGCTGCGGTTCGGGATAGATCACGTCGTATGATGGCAGCAGGTCGCAATTTTATGGAGGAGATTTCGACGGTTCAAGTATATTATTACTCGGACGAGGAATGGTGATGGTGATGCCAAACACGTGACGTCAGAAATTCGATGCAGGCATTATCACGTGTCAACAAGGACTTGTGTCTCCATCTTCACATGCTTTGACTTTCATGACTACGCCTCCTTCGCCTCCCTCATCAGCTTGATCCGAGCAAGTCAGCTGCCTTGCATCTGTCATCAGTCTCTTTCCTTATGTTGGTCAAACCGTTGTATACTATGTGCTCGATCTGACAGTAATCACGCCGACGGCAATGCCATACATTCGCGCAAACGCTTTCAGCATCTCTCCCTTGGGTCCTTTGTTATCATGATAGGTACGTGGCCCCCAAAAGCGTGCACATGCCACGTGTAGTATTGATGGAATCCTCCTAGACCATGTCATCGGTAGACCATCTTCACAATTTCGGAAGGTCCAGGTGGCTGCTGTTGCGTGCTTTTGGTCCCTGTATCTGGTGAGGTTCGTATCGCCCAAGTCACAGTCGATGCAGTCTGACGGAACCACAGAGGAAACCAACATGGCCCGCCGATATTACGAGAGCTTTCCCAGAAGTTGTCTCGACGTTTCACATTATGGCAGTCCACAGTCATTATACTGCTCTCGCTCTATGTCAGTCGCAACTTCGCCAAAATAGTCGGGCTCGAATCGCCCGAACCACTCGCAAATCTATACAGCCGATCATTCTTCCGTGCGACATGGATCACCACAGCGCTGGACGCTGGATTCTGGACGGCCATGCGAATTAGGAACAAGCCTGTCCGTGACATTGTGTCCATTATCTGCACTATCTACTATCTCATAGCAGCCGAGCAAGCCGACGAGAAGGTCCGTAAAGTCAGGGCCGTGCTGACTGTTGATCACCTCCGTACTGCATGGAACAAGCCAACGACACCATACCTAAATTTCTTCACTTCTTTGCTGCGGCCGCACTTCACCAAGTACAAGCCTCGCCGCGTCAGGATTCCGAGACCGAAGAACAGCGCCTATCGCGAACCAGTCGATGCATGGATGTACTTCGATGGAACTCTTGCAGAACTCCAGCAGCAGGAGAACATCGTCCTCGACATTCCCGGCGGTGGGTTTGTGGCCATGGATCCACGCACTTCGGACGACAAGTTGCTCGCGTGGGCGGGTAAGACCGGCTACCCGGTTCTCAGTCTCAACTACCGCAAGGCGCCCGAGTACCCGTACCCATACGCGCTGAACGAGTGTTTCGACGTCTACACTCAACTCGTCGCCACAAAAGGCGCCATAGTTGGCATGCACCCACAGCATTGCCCCAGGATCATCCTCACGGGCGACTCCGCTGGCGGTAACCTCGCAACCGGCACGACACTGATGATCATCCAAGCCAACTCTTCGCCCAGTACATCCACACGTGGCCTGCTTCCCAGCCCAGCGGCACTCATCCTCCTCTACCCTGCCCTCGATATGAACATCGGCTCCTGGATGACCGACGACCAGATGGCCCTGATTCGCAATCCAAACACCACAAAGAAGCATTCCAACTTCGTAAAGCGCAAGTCCGAGGACATCGATCGCCGCTACACGCCCGGCACACCACGACCCACCGACGACGACCCCGACCACGACTTTTTCGCACCTCGAGACCCGCCGAAACGAGAAGATACGGACGACATCGAAGCCCAGCGGCACACCGTCGCGACTTCCAAGCCCCAGCCCCTCAAGACCCGCCTCGCTGTCAGCTCCATCATCAGCTACTTCGGCGATCGCATCATCACACCGGAAATGATGCGCGCCATGATTATCCTCTATGTTGGTCCGTATAACCGGCCGGACTTCACCACGGACCACCTGCTGTGTCCTGCCGTTGCGCCGGAATCGCTGCTGCAGAAGTTCCCCAAGACGTATTTCCTGACCGGCGAGCGAGACCCTCTCGTGGACGACACGGTGATCTTCGCGGGTAGACTGCGCCAGGCGAAGCTTGCACTGTTTCAGGAACGACACGAGATCGGCCTAGAGCGCTCATCCGCAACGTTCAAAGAACGGGACTGTGTCGAGGTCGTGCTCATCCCGGGCATAAGCCATGGCTTCATCCAGTTCGTCAGCATTTTCCCTGAAGGCTGGAAGCACATCTTTCGCTGTGCAGGCTGGATCAGAGACGTCTTTGCTAGTGAGCCAGGCCTGTACGAGGGGCCTAGTCTGGAGATCAGAGCGCGGCAGGGGAGTCTCAGCAAGAACGATGCTAGTCCATTGAGTCTGGCGAATATGGTTAATGGTAATGGGCACGCGCATTCGGCTGGATCGGAAAGACATCATAGGAGGACGCCGACGACGGACACGGAGGGGACATGGACGGAGGATGAGGACGCGCCGATTATGATGAACAGTCGACCGCTCACCAATGGTGCGTCCGCAGCTTTGGCAGCATCTACCAAGGACCGCGAGGTGGAAAGGGGAGCAGGAATCATAGGCATGATCACGGAAGTGACGGGAGTAGAAGTCCGGAGCAGAGTCGAGGAGGAGGGTTTCTGAGCAGATCGAAAAGTATCGCCAGCTTGGGCAGTCAAGAGGATTTGTTGAAGAGGAGGATGATGGGGTTGACTGCTGGGTTGAGTGGTGTTAGAGAGGACTGAATAGGGCCATTCTCGCGCAAGACCGTGGTGTAGATAGAGGTGACATAAGCTAGATGGGAAAATATCATGACAGCTCTCTAAACAATGCGAGGAATGCTCGCTCGAAAGTGCTGCGTGTCGCTGAGATGGGTTTCCAAGTTGCCTCTGACCAAGATGTCAGCACATCTCGAGGCGGCACTGACGACGGCATGGTCGGACTGAGTGAATGCCTGAGTCTGAGTCAAGTCAGCAATGGTGAAGACCTCAAAGCCGATCCAAAGCGGCGATCGATTCACGCTCACCTTAATCTTCACTTTCACGAAGATCTATAAAAGACCATGCTGCTATCAACGACTTCTTTCCCATTCAGTATCGTGGGTCCAGAGACGCCATTGATTGCCATGCCATCATAGCATTTGCTGCTACCTGGTGGGGCGAGAGTGTCCATGTTGTGAATCGCGTGTCTTCCTTGCATCGATGAAGTCGGACACAAGACATCGAGCTTCATCTTGTCCAGCCATCGAACCAATCAGAGAAGCCGAACAGGCTGATGATTGAAAGCTCAAGTCGTAAACGGAACTGACGGCATCAAAGGTATGCCTACCCCATGCGTTGCTTCCGCCGTACCCAAACCTCCCTTCCCTCGTCCGCCTTGCCCGTGGTCGACGCCACCACGCCATGTTCATCACGCAATTGTGTCTCCCATATGGCCAAGCGATAGTTACCTCTGTCCGCGCTCCCACTGAACAAGTCAAAGGACCATCCGTGTTTGGGGCATGTCAGTCCGGCAGACAGGACAACGCCGAAGTCCTCGATGTCGAAAGGCGTAGCCTTGGAGAGGGGGAAGGACGAATGGGGACACTTCTAGTTCGATTTATCAATGAGACTGTCGTACTGTTGAAGATCGATTGCAGGCATAGACGGACTCACATGGTCCACAGCGTAGAATTTATACTTGTACCGGAAGACCAGCACCTGGTCGAACAGCGCGTCAGAGTTCACGGCATTCGCGTCTTGAACGGAGACCTGAGTTGCTCTTGAGTATTCATTCCGCGGTATGCGTAGAATCTTGCATGCTGACGCCTGCGATCCCTGGCAAGGGAGCTGTTCTGACAACACGGTTGTCCCTGACTCAGTTATATTAGGGAAGCTGGATATGGAGCCGGCGCAGTACCATGCGTCGCGCGCTCCGGAGGGCGCTACAAAGGCATGTACAGAAGACGTCGCCATTCAGGTGATTTGGGACTACGACACTGTTAAGATATCGGTGTTCAAGTTGATCTTGAGTCTTGGCGCCGGTGTCGGGTGCGTTCCGCGCCCGGGGCCGACACCCCAACAATCCCTCTGATACACTGATACAGCAATGAGTAGAATACCAGTCGCCCAGCCTTGCGGCGGAATCGGCCCTTCATCCATACCAGTCTCTGACCTGTCGTTGCTTCTGCTGGTCTACGAACAACATCAGGCTGAACGCAAATGGTACCGTACCTCTCATCGTGGGGTATCCGTTTCATATGCTTGGCCGTGCCACGCTGTTCTCGGCTAGATTCAGGGTTCCCAATTTGCTGGTGACTCGGCTACTGGGGTGGTCTGCTGCCAAAAATGGATCATCTGCAGTAACGAATCCTGTCAAACACTGTCACGAGGCTTGACTCTGTCTTCGCTCGTTGACGCCCAACGGCCTCCCGGTGTGACCTTCGAGCCTGGCAGCGAGCTCGTGAGCAGTAGGAGTCTCGCTGCGACATTCAGCCTGTATCCACGTAATGCGTAAAGGAGTTCAGACGCTTTGCAACGCGATTTGAGGAAGCCATCGTGGATCTGGACTCCCGCAACTCCTCGTATTTGGGCGGCGGTGCTGAAATGCAGGCGAAGCTTTCCTGCCGGATGATTGGCCTCCACTTCAACTAAAGTCCGCCCCATGGCTTGGCAAACGAAGTCGGAACGACAGCTGTACTGCAGGGGCATGGTTCAGTTGTCTTTTGCTTTGTGGCCTCGTTTTCGTACGGTGTCAAGGTCGTTTTCATTGATTGACATGAGCGCGGGTTGTTTCCCGTCTCGTATCGATTTTTCAGCCCCGGGCAGACGCATTCCATGACCGTGGCTTGACACCGCCCGACTTATCCAGCATGATCTCGAGCCATGACCTTCAAGCAGGTGAGTGAGAGGAGCCAGATGTGTCATACATCCAGACAGCATTGATGGGCATGGTTCCAACGGCAGCATAAGTATGCCATGATACCATCTCTCGCTGCGCGCATGCAATTGCTGTTTCCTCCCACCCCACCGTCTAGCGAGCCTGGGCAAGGCGAGACCAGGTGAACTCGAGGTCTAGTGCCTTGCAGGACCCCAGGCTAGTGCTGATTCGCTATTTCGAGAGACCGGAGGATCCTTTTGACACGAGAAAACAAGCCCAAAGGCTCTCGCTGCTGTGCACTTGCTGCGGCCAAAGCTTTGCCTGACAAAAGCTACTGCTCGTTCTTTTCCTACCTGTGGAAGGGTATTCTCATCAGTTCTTCTCGCACTCCGCTCGCAGACGTCTCGAAACTCGTTTGCACGCGTTCAACAGCTCACCACCACAGCAATTCACATCACTGACATTTACTGCACGACTTCAACGGTTGGGCTCAGTGTAGTCGAACGGGCGGTGGGAAGGTCTCCGACTACAGGCTGCGCCCGCATCGCAAGTGACCTCCTCGGTCCAAAAACGATTGAAAACAGGACTATTGTTCAGACACCACCGCTTTTTCACATATATACACACGAACATGATCGAAAGGATACTCCTGCTGGCGGCGATATCGTCGCTGACGTTCGCGCAAGACGATGCGAATGTCACATCAAGTGCTACTGGCGCCGCTGCCTCACAGACGGGAACACCAACCACAAATCAACCGACGACACACACGGTAGAGGTTGGGCTGGTAGGTCAAGCAGACCGAAGTGCATCGACACCTACTGACACGAATGCTGCAGGGAGCCCACACATTCAAGCCAGACGTTACTCTCGCCAATGTCGGCGATGTTATCGAGTTTGACTTCTTTCCCACAAACCACAGCGTGATCCGCGCCGAATACCTGTTTCCATGTGTACCATACGAAATGACTGGACGGAGTAAGAAGGGTTTCTACTCTGGCTTCCTACCCGTGGATGCCATTTTGGACGACCCGCCGAAATACAGCATTACGGTGAACGATTCATATCCGATCTTCTTCTACTGCGGCGCGCCTGGCAGCTGTATCAACTTCGTAAGCAGCCTCTCCATCCCTTGTGGTCAGCAGTAGCCACGACTACCCACCGCTTCTGGGTAAAGAGCCACTAACAAACAATCTAGCAAATGGTCGGCGTAATCAATCCCAACGCCTCAACTTCCCTGGTCCAACACAAAGAAACCGCCAAGAACGCAGATTTCATGCTCCTGCCGGGTGAGAAATGGCCAGAAGAGTCCGAGGGCACAAACCCATTACACGATGATCCGGACGCAACCTCCTCCGACAACTCCACCTCAACGGATTCCGCCGGCGCAGCAGCTACCACAACGCACGTCCACGAAAGCAGCAGCAGCCTCAGCACCGGCGCAATCGCCGGCATCGCAGTAGCTGGCACAGTCGCAGTCATCGCAGCGGCAGCACTGATCTTCTTCTGCGGCCGAGCCTCCCGCAGGAGAAACGCAGCAGCCAACGCGCAACAACAGCCCTTAATGCAGCAACAAGGCATGCCATTTTCGCCAGGGCCTTCGCATCAGGGACACATGTCGTATATCCAGCCGTACGCAAACGGCGACATGAACAAGCATATGTCGATCCAAAGCCATCAGATGCACAGTGCGGCTCTGCCGGGCTACATCCCGCCGCACGGTGATCAAACACCTGGGTCGCAAACGCCGCTTTACGGACCCTCTGATGCGTTGAATCCCGGCGCGGCGGAGTACGCAGGCTCGCCGCAGCATTCGCCGCACATGGCTGCCGTTGGCATGGGGGCTGCCCCTGCTTATTCGCAGAGGAATTCAATGTACGTACTTCCTCATGCCCAGCCATCCACTGTGACTGACCAAGCGAACAGGCAACCACAACCATTCTCCCCAGGCTTGCAATCGCCATACCAGCAACAACAGGGCTCGCCATTTCAGGGGCCAACAACGCCAATGCCAGGCGGCAACTTCCACGAGATGCCGGGAGCGCCTGTGCCAGATAGCCAGTATCAGCAACAAGCTTCGCAAACGCCGAGGCAAGGAGGCAGTGAGCTCAGCGGCTCGGATACTTTGGGTAGGGGGAGTCCTCCGCCGCAGCAGGGCGGTGGGATTATGAATTTTATCAAGCAGAATACTGGTGGGAACTAGGCGTTGAGCTCTGCTTTGGTGGTTCCTTGAAGCAAATCGTGGGAAGTATCACGGCCAATGTTCGATGTGAATATTTCGGGCGAGCAGACCTGCTTGCAACAAAATTCGAGCACTTCAGATGATGGACTGAATGTATAAACTTATTTCCTCCCAGCATTCAGTCCTTTCGAAGCGCCTCGACTTTCCGTGTCCCCACGAGATCGGCTATGACTGAAGTGATGGATCTGTCTTGCATTCTCGCCCGCTGCATGTCCTCCATGCATTCCATGAACGCAGCAATCCAACGTCAACAATGCAGGATTTACCTTCAACTACAAAAGCACCATTCGTGCAGATCCCGCACCTCAGCGACCCCTCTTTTCGGCTGCGTAGCGAAGAGAGCATCCTCTCCGATCGAACAGCTGACTCAACCGCCACACTGTCCGGTAAAAAGTGCTGTCCGCAATGAGCTCTGCATTGGGAGGTCATTTGCTCAGCCAAGTCGGTATCTATCGAGTCATTGAGCCGCATTTGCAACGCTGATGTGGGGTCGTGAGCCTCGACCCTGAATTCACGACTTACAGCACGTGCAGACGGTGACATACCGCGGCTTTGATCAGACTCCTGTATAACAATGTCTCTTCGTTCGTACTGAATTCCAACAAGCTCGACTGAGGACGTTCCAGGGCCCAATTCAATCAATTCCATGAAAGAAGCAGGAGCGGGGTGACGTAATCTCAGTATCCCACCACAAGTCATCGAACGGCTGTTATACGGAACGACTTGACGTGACTGAAGACGAGAAGTGAGGTTGAGTTTCTCTTGTTTTGCGAATCTCATCAATTTCGGCGTCAGACTCGACAGTCCCGACGACCAGCAGCACCACCTTGAATCCCAAAGGTTCAGACAACCCAACGGCAGGATCATACGACAGTTCCCAGCAGAGACAAGTCATCGAACAAGCCATCGACCATGGCCGCCCCACCAGAAGTCACCTGCACCAACTTGACCGGCAAGTTCACTATGAACAAATCCCTTGGCGACGACCTCGAGCCCATGCTCATCCTCCAAGGCATCGGCTGGTTCGTCCGCAAAGCCATCGGCTTGGCCACTCCCGCTGTACTTCTCCCTCCCTCTCCCGCCCCGAACGCAATGATTGTAACAATGTACTGATGCAGCGGTCCAATAGCTCACCATCAAAGAATACAAGGAGGGTGATGTCTACCACATCGACATCCTGTCCGTCGCCAGCGGCCTCTCCTCCCAACAAGAAAACCGCACCCTCGACTGGGCGGACCGCGCCCACACGGACCGCATCTTTGGCAACGTCAAGGGCCGCTCACGGCTCTACACATCCACTAACCTCACCCCTGCTACCGAAGGCCTCTCGACCGAGGACGTCGCCTTCCTGAACGCCCAACAGCTCAAGGATGGCACACCCTCGAAATGGCTGGATGAGGGTGAACACGTGCAGAGTTTCGTGGTGAATGTGGATAAAGGGTACGGGTGGACGGCGGAGCAGACGTGGGGATTTGAGGACGTCAAGGGCGATGGCCAGCGGAGGTATACGAGGAGGGTGATTGCAAGGGATGCGAAGGGGAAGGTTGAGCGGTTGAGGTTGGTTTATGATTACACGGGGCCGGTGGAGGGGAAGGCCGGCGCGGAGGATGACGGGTTGGCTTATGGGGATTCGTGAGAGCGGCGAGCAAAGTCAACTCGGCGACCGTCGCAGATGACTGCAGGCAACGTCAATGGTAAAGAACGTGACGATGTTATCTCGACAACCACGAGCTCACGCGAAGCCAGAGAAATGAAAGGATTTCTACAAAAAAGCTGATCGCTGCGCGTTCATTGTAAAGACCGCGAATGATTTTGTCCTCAATATTGGCTACTTACACGATTTGCGCTCAAAACAACCCTGTGCAGAGCCCCTACTTCTGCTTTTTCAACAATATCGCTCGTTCCTCCCGCGTCCACCGATTCGACTCTTCCTACCGTCTTTGAAGGACCAAGCACAATTTGGAGACCGAGGTGACAGCCAACAACCCGGGGTCCAGGTTCCTCACCAGCATTCACCCGAACTCAGTCCGAGACCGACAATTCGGGCACACTGTGTCGACCTCTCCCTCAATCCATCTACTGCTTCCGTTTCCAAATTCTCGCATCACACTTGCATTTCGCCTTCCCTCACCCTTACCACAAGCCCACGAGCCCTGATCCACCACCCACCTCGTTCCCTATGAATGCGTAGGCATGCTAACCTCACTCTTCGTCCCGATCGCATCCTCCGCCCTCCAATGGCTCGTGACCGTCTTCCACTGCGTGTAAAACCTCAAGCCATCCTTACCGTAGAAGTTGGCCATTCCTGTACCTGCGACGGACTTCTTGTTGCCCGTGAAGCTGAACATGGGCAGCGGGACGGGAATGGGGACGTTGATGCCGATCTGGCCTGCTTCGAGAGACTTTTGGAAGAGGGAGGCGGTAGGCCCAGATTGGGTGAAGACCTGTGGTATTTGTTAGACGTCTGATGCTAGAAAGGGCTTGAACTTGGCCAAGGGCGGGAGACTTACAGCTGCGCCGTTTCCATACTCATTCGCGTTGATCAGCTCGATAGCGTCCTCGGTCGTCTCGACATTCAAGCAGACCAGTACGGGTCCAAAGATCTCTTCAGTGTAGCACTTCATGTGCGGCTTGACGTTGGTGATAATGGTTGGTCCGACCCAGTTGCCGTCGGCGTACTTGCTGTCCGCGGGTTTCTGGCCACGGCCGTCCAGCAGGATCGTTGCGCCCTCCTTCTCGGCGCTGGCGATGAGATCTTCCACGCGCTTCTTGGACTGCGGGCTAATCAGTGGTCCCAAGTCAGCGTCCGATTCGAAGCCACCGTTGATCTTGAGTGCCTTTGCGCGCTCGGCGAGTTCCGGCATCCAATCCTTAGTTTCGCCGACTAGGACGAGAGTTGACAGAGCCATGCAGCGCTGGCCCGCGGCGCCAAAGGCAGCACCGGAGATAGCGTTGAGTGCGTGGTTCTTGTTGCAGTCTGGCAATACCGCAGCATGATTCTTTGCGCCGAGGTTGGCCTGTACGCGTTTTCCGTTGGCGCTGCCTCGGGTGTAAATGTATTCACCGGCCTTGTTGCTGCCGACGAAGGAGACGGCCTTGATGGCGGGCTCGTCGAGAATGAAGTCCACCGTCTTGGCGCCGCCGTGCACGATGTTGACAACTCCGGGCGGGATGCCGGCTTTGACGCAAAGCTCGGCGAGGATCATGGCTGCGCCGGGGTCGCGCTCGGAGGGCTTGAGGATTAGGGTGTTGCCGGTGACGGTTGCGAGTGGGATCGACCACAGTGGGATCATGGCGGGAAAGTTGAAGGGACAGATGGCGGCTGTAACACCCAGAGGCTCACGGTAGCTGCGTGTCTCCATATCTTTTGCTACCTCGATGACTTCGCCAACGAGTTGGGTCGTGATGCCGCAGGCGCCCTCGCAGACTTGTAGGCCGCGAAGAACGTCGCCTTTGGCGTCAGCAAAGGTCTTGCCTTGCTCAAGGGTGATTGAGGCGGCTAGTCTGTCCATGTTCTCGCGGATTAGATGTGTGAGCTTGAACATGACCTGCTGCCGGTGCATAATAGATGTGGCCTTCCATGCTGGAAATGCTTTTTGTGCTGATTCAACAGCGGCTTTGAGCTCGGCGTCAGTCGACTGAGGGATGCGGGTGACGAGGTTATTCGTTGAGGGGTCGTGCAGGTCGATCCATTGTGAGGTCTGGGAGGGTGTGAATTGGTTGTCGAGGAAGTTGGTTGTGTCAACCACGTTCTGGATCTTTTCATGTGAGGTCTCTGCCGAGGTAGGCGCGACTGCGGCGGCGGCTTGTAGGTGAGCAGACGTGGCATGCAACCGCCGCTTTGCAATGGTCTGAGGAGAAGACATCCTCAGGGTCGAGGCCGTGTTCCGTGTGGTAACAGAGGTGAGGGCTCGTCGAGTTGCTGTCAGTGCGGGGATCTTGCGCAGAGCAGCTCGTGGCACAGACATTGTGCTGTTGAAACAGAATTGTGAGGAGACAGTATTTGTGTACTAACGTCGTCAGTCAGAGTGAAGCTGACAGGTTATTCAGAAGCAGTGCTGCAGTTCATAGGACCTCCTCCAAAGACCTCCTCCAAAGACCGTGCCGGCGACGCAGCAATGACGGAAATCGACGGCCCGCACGAGTCTCCGCAATCGCTGCTCCGAGGTCGAAGAAGATAATCATGATTGGCTGGGGGCAAAGGACGACCGGCGCGCGGGGAGAACAGCGGAGAGGAATGCAGTAATCAGTATAATGCCGGACCGCGGGCCTCCTTGTCAAGAACAAGAAAGGTCCGGGCGGACCGGATATCATCTTGCGGTGTAGATACAATCAAAGGAAGTGCGTAGATATACCTTACCCATTCATATTGCGACCGAGTCCTCGAGACGGTGGTCAGAAACAGTGAGAACCGATGATCTGCATTTCGATAATATCTAAGCATAGTCATCCGTCATGGTGGTTGTACAGGAAGAGACAGCGATGTTGAGCACCTGCTTGCCACGATACTTGCGCAAGTGTGGATGCATTGACCTCGCCTTCGGCCATGTCGGCGCCGTACCAATGCCGCAAACGATGTTTTTGGATAAGAAATCCGTCTCTCATGACAGCAGCATCATTCCTCGCTGCCCCGCCCAACATTTCCAGCCTACCACCCTGGCTGTTCCGGCAGACTCGAGGAGTGGAGCCGCACGTCAATCGTAGAACCTTTCGCCCCATGCAAGCTCTCATCAGATAGTGTGTTCCCAGGCGCCAGTAGAGAGGCGTTGCCTGAGCACTTTCAAACTGTTGCCACTCTGGGACCACTACTCCGCAGAGCTTCGAGTTGTGCGTCGGTTGGCTTCAGCCTTGGTCTTCTCAGCACCAGAGCTCACAGCCTCGACGACTTTATCCTTAGCCTCGACGGCCTTGTCCTGGGCAACAGCCGCAGCCTCAGCCGCAGCCTCCTTGGCCTTCTGAGCTGTCTTCTTGATATCCTCCTTGCTGGGAGCAGCGGAGCCACCCAGACCAGCGAGACCGACGACAACAGCAATGACCAAGGCGATGGCACCACCAATGCCGCCAGCCACCTCGGGCATGAAGCGGACAGCTTCGACGGGATCGCGCTTGGCCAGGGTGATGAACAGATCGAGCTTTTCCCGGATGTAGTGGACTGGATCATCCTTGAATGAGAGATCGTTGGGAGACTTGGGGATATCAGATGGCTTGGGCTTGCTCTTGGACTCTTCCTCTTCCTCAATGGGTCGCTTGATGTCGTACGAGGCGGCACGGAGTGCAGCAGCGTCTTCTTCGGAGTGACCGATGTAGATGTTGTCGAAGAGAATGTCAGACTGCATAGTCCAGATCTCGAAACCAATGGCACCCATGGGCTCGAAATTGGCAGGAGACTTGTCCTCGAAGAAGGCAGGGTTCTTGATCTTGCGTGGCTCCCAGATACCCTTGTAAAGCGGGTTGTCGATGAATGGCGCGGTCCACTTGCCCTTGTATGCTGGGTTCTTCTTCATGGGTGCTTCCCAAGGACCGCAACCAGAAGCTTCCTCGCACTTGGGATTGGGGACCTGAGGAGGAACCCAGTCTCCGTCCTCGTCGTCATCCCAATCTTCTGGCTTTTCGGCTTCGGGGTCAGGAATCGTGAGTGGCTCGTCGTCAAGCCAGTCGGCAGGCTTCTCGGCTTCGTCATCGACGATCTCGAATGGAGCATCCTCATCCCAGTCCTCTGGCTTTGTGGCCTCGGGATCAGCAATGCGGGCCTCATCAACCCAGTCTTCTGGCTTCTTGTCATCAGGGTCGGAAATTTCGGCCGGCGGGTTGACAGCAGGAGAGAAGTCTTCGAGGAGGGACCCGTTCTTGGAGGACTTGTTGTCGATCAACATCTCGAAGGTGTTGTCGGGACGAACGATGAGGGTGTAGAGGGTGGTGAGCTTGGAAATCTTGGCCGAGGGGGCGCTCTTGAAGTGCTTCTCCTCGTACTCGCCAGTCTTGGGGTTCTTGTGGTTGAAAATGAAGTGGACCTGCAAAGTCAGTATGAATGACACGTCGCGGTGATGGACGTACCTTGTTAGTGGCACCGCACTTGTCGGGACCGAACATGATCACGTAGGGAGATGTGTTGGCAAACTCCTCCTGATGAAGAGCCTTGTTGTCGCGGAGTAACTTCATGTAAGCACCACCGCACTCAAGGCCCTTCTGGAGCTTGACTTCATACTGAACGACGAGAGTCTTGCCCTTGTTATCGATCTTGGATGGGAACTTGGCCGAGATGGCGTGGTGAGCGGCGGGGTTCTTGAGCACAAGACCCTTGTCGCCCTCGATGCCAGGGAAGACTGAAGGCTCCTCGACAGACCACTCGCCCACGTAGGCCCAGTCTTCCTCGCTCTTTGAGTCCTCCTTCTTGGCGTGAGAGATCTTCCATCGAGTCTCCCAGTCATCGGTGAACTGTTCGAGGAAAGGGGCTTTGATGCTGACAGGCTGAAATGGCGTTAGTGGATGCGTAGTTCATGGCTTGTGATACTCACCTTGAATGCTGGCTTGCTGACAGCGCTTGACGATGGCTCAGGAACCTCTACGGGCTCTGGGGCTGGCACGTCGTCTTCCTGAGCTAGGGTGGTACCAGCAAGGAGCGCAGTCGCGCAGAACGCGGCAGCGACCTGAAGACGCATTGTGACGGATCAGCAATGTGAGTCCAGGGATGAATGAGGTCGAGGAATGATGGAATGGAGAGAAAGGAGATGGATGATGGATGCACTCCGTCGGTGTGGGAAATAATTAAATTATTGTTCGTTTGTCGGCTGAAGTACAGGTGTCCTCTTCGCAGGGGATCACCAAACTTTCTCCATCACTCCTGCCGCGACTTCGACTTCACTTGGCACGTCAGGAGATAGCCGGCATTAGGACAAAAGACCTTCAATCTCAATGACACGTGGGGAGACTTTGCGCTGTTGATTCCTTCACTGCTCCGCGTGTCACCTGCACTCATACTTCATTTGCACAGTCGTTGAGCATGGGAAGCATTGAAGAAGTTCGTCCAGGCGACGAGTTGGTAATCTCAGCGGATCCCAACCATCCAGCAAACCTCATTCCGAGGCTATGCAAACAGTTCTACACACTAGGTAAGGCTACAACGGTGCATCGCTGAAGCAGCAGTGACTCAATTTCCAGGCTGGGTCACGGGTACTGGAGGTGGTGCAAGTATCAAGCAAGGTGATCATGTCTACATCGCTCCCTCCGGCGTTCAGAAGGAGCTCATGGAGCCGGAGAACATCTTCGTCATGTCCTGGCCTACTCCGAAATATCCGCCCTCTGAACGCGTCTACATTCGCAAGCCACTCGATCTGAAGCCATCTGCGTGCACGCCTCTCTTTCTCTCAGCATTTGAGCAAGGTGCGGGATGTTGTATTCATACTCACTCCCAGTGGGCAGTCTTGGTGACGTTGCTGGTCGAGCAGAAATTTAGCAAGGATGCTTGCTTCGAGATCAGCACTATCGAGCAGATCAAAGGTATTCCAGCGGGCAAAGGTAAGGGAATGTTAGGCTATCACGACAAGCTGAAGATTCCCATCATCGAGAATACGCCTTTCGAAGAGGACTTGACTGGCAGCCTGGAGAAGGCTATGCAGCAGTACCCGGACACATACGCTGTTCTCGTCCGACGGCACGGCATGTAAGTATTTGTATGTCTGGACCGAGAGCGTGCTGACAAGTCAGATACGTGTGGGGTGACACATGGATCAAAGCCAAAACACAATGCGAGAGCCTCGATTACTTGTTCCAGCTAGCCGTCGAAATGCACAAACTCGGCCTGCCTTGGCTCCCGTGATGGGGTTGACGATGTGGCAGCTATTTGTGGCGTGGCTGCTCATCTTGCGACAGATTCGCAGGCTAGGACATCCGAGTAAGCAGAGAAAACGGACATCCACTTCACGTACAGGATGAGATCCGCGACGACTCGATCTTCTGGACAATGAGACGTGACTATCAGCACCCTTCGTCGAGCTTTGCCAACTGTTCGGGTATTGACTTCTGCTTCAACTCGCTGGAGCAGGCCTGGAAGAACGGCGGCTTGGCCCGCGAAAATGGTGCCAGAAACCCCACGAAGAGATTCAAATCAAACGCTCGATCGTCTGAGCCTCGTTGAAGGACATCGCCTGCGTCGAGGCTGAATGTAGCAATCTGTCAGCCAGCTCGTGGAGGAAAGAGCGCACGCTAGTGTCCGGCCTCCATGGGTCAACATGTACATGCGATACAGAGCCCAGCAGCCTCATCGAACCGAAGCACATTCAACAAGCTGAATTCAGCAAAGCGATAAGAATCATGATGGCATGTATAACAATAATGCTAGCAATATATTCGAGTACCATTAACTAAAGCGTTTGTACAACATTTGACCAAAGCACAAAATCCTTCCGCACGAGTCGCGCCTTGCGATATGACTCGTTGGCTAATTTTCCTCAGGCACCAACAAAGCTGCCCTTCACGCACTTTCGATTGAATCTCCGGTGCCTCTCGTTCTTCTGAATGGACGAAACATGGATGCGGTGCTAGTTCCGGCGATCGCTGCATTGCCGGCGGCTTGCCCCGCATGTTAGCGCTGAACATCGATCTCAAACCCAAACACGACTGAAGAAGCGCGCCCGCGATACATTTCCACCGTGTCACCTGCTACCATACATTGGATTATGGCGAGAATGAAGTAGTTGCCTTCCTGGTATGATTCTCTGCTCGACTCAAGCTCAGGAAAGATCCATGGATAGCAGCACTTGTGTGGTGCGACACGTGTGACCTCGATCGTATTTGTTATCAGTTGCTGGGATGTCGATGTTACGCACTGCACGCTTCTGCGCAGCCCATGCAGCCACATGTATTGGCATTGGCGATCAATATGCTTGACTTTGCATGCGTGCTGCTACCAGGTGCTCGGTCGGCAGAAACATATGGGATGTACCTGACTGTGTTCCTACTAATACTACAGGCGAGCTTCCCCACTACTTTCGTCGTCGACATCGAAGCTCTCACCAAAGCTTCTCTGTCGCATTCGACCAAGAGTTTTCAATACTCAGAGCTTCCCTGGCCCGATCTTTCGTCGCAACCAAACTCACTGCGCCCGGCTGAATCTCCAGCATGGGAGACTACAACTCAAGCCCCGAGAGGGGCGCCGGACACCTGATTCCGGACGAGCCACATACTCACCATGACACATACGCAGGCTTCAGGACCGATGAAACACGCAACAAGGGCACACGGCTGCGAGTAAGTCGCGCACTCCCACCCCGGACATGTTATGTTGCTGATCGAATTTATCACAGAGACTCTTCGGCTTCGGTCAAATGTTCTTCTTCGCCCTAGGCTACATGTCCTCCTGGGAAGCCATCGCGGCCAACGTCGGCCTTGCCTTCAGCAATGGCGGGCCCCGCGCGCTTACATGGGGTTTCTTCGTCGTTGTCCCGGGCATCCTCTGTCAAGTCGCCTCCCTCGCAGAACTAGCAGCCGTCCAACCCATTGCCGGCGCTCAATATCACTGGACGCACTACCTCGCGCCTGCTCGGTACAGTAGGTTCATAACCTGGCTGCAGGGGTGGATCACATGGTTCAGCTGGATCAGCTTGCTGGCTGGGGTGGTGAACATCACAGCGAACTCAATTCAGACGGTCGTCATTGCGTCTTATCCAAACTACGCGGCGCAAAGCTGGCATGTTGTGTTGATCATGTATGCGCTGATGATCGTGGAGGCATTCATCACGACGCATGCGTTCTGGACGATGCCGTGGATTGAGCTGTTTGCTGGAGTGCTGCATATCGGGCTGTGGATCATCTTTGCGGCGGTGCTGCTCGCTATGGCGCCGAAGCATTCGGGCGAGTGGGTGTTCTTTGACAAGACGACGAGTAGTGGTTGGGGTGAGAGTGTGTCCTTTAATTTGGGCATGATTCTGATTACTTGGGGTTTTGTCGGTGAGTCTATCTCGTCCTGCGCCTTGATCTGGGTCGGAACTCTGTCCAGTCTGCAGTCCTCACTGACAATTCAAACCCAGGCTTCGACGCCTCAGTCCACCTCTCCGAAGAAGTCCGCCGCGCGCGCCACGCCGTGCCCCGCGCCATGTTCTGGAGCATCTGCCTCAACTGCGGCATGGCATTCGGCATGGTCCTCATCTTCCTCTTCTGCTTGGGCTCTGTCGAAGACGTCACCTCAGCCTCATACCCCATCCTCGCCATCTGTGTCAACGCCACCCGCTCCGTGGCCGGAGGCTCCGCACTCGTCGGCGGCCTGCTGATCATGAACGTCACCGCGAGTTTGGGAAGTCTGGCGTCCGCAAGCAGGCTGACGTGGGCGTGGAGTCGCGATGGCGGGCTGCCAGCGTATTTCTCGAGGATTAACCCGAGGCAGCGGGTGCCGACCCGATCAGTGTGGTTGCCGGTGGGGATTGTGATGTTGTTGTCGTTGTTGAACTTGGCAGGGTATCTGGCGTTCAGTGTGATTGTGAGCTTGAGCACGTTTGGGCTGTATCAGTCATATTTTATTGCTATCGCGTGCATGTTGTACGCGAGGTGGACTAACAAGAAGCATGTTGTGCTCGGTGGGGGATGGTCGTTGGGCTGGTGGGGATACCCGATCAATGTGTTTGCGTTGGTGTACTCGGCGTGGATGAGTGTCTTCTTAGTGTTTCCAACGTATTTGCCGGTGACAGGGGAGAGCATGAATTATGCGTTGCCGATCAATGCGGGGGTGTGGTTGTTTGCGATTGTTAGTTGGTTTGTGTGGGCCAAGCGGTCTTGGAGGGGGTTGAACGTGGAGGTCATTGACGCGGTGGTGGCGGATGCGGAGCGGGCGTCGAAAGAGTGACGGAAAGGTGCTGACTGGGGATAAAGCCACAGATGGCTTGAGACGCTAGACACTTGCTAGACTAAACAGCGGATCAAGATGATGATCCTTGGTGACGCTGGGAGGTGCTTCGCTAACAAATGCACTGAAGACGAAATGCTCGGCCGTATAAAATTGTCCTTGAGGAAGTAGTGCCTCAGTCCATGGATGCGTGCCGCGGCGTGCTCAACACAGGAGCAGCCGATAGCAGTTCATCGAGAGCGGAAGCTGTACAACTTGAAGCCCATGTGCCGCCTTCTCCTCAATCACTGCCTCCATAACCTGAATCGCTGCCGTTGGTACTCGACTCGCTGCCTTCAGTCCCTCTCACTGCCTCCAGTTCCTCAATCGCTGCCTCCAGTTCCGCAGTCATTGCCTTCAATTCCTCGAACTCACGCCAAGAGAGAATCGTTCCGGCCTGTTGAAGATCGGGGAAGGCGTGTTCGACTGTGTCGCGGATCATCTCCACAAGGTAGTCGCGCGCAGTCCTCATCATCGCGCCCAGATCCCACTAGGAAGGACCCCCTTGACCCTGCCCAGGCTCACCATGTCGCGAACCATCACCCACACCCTCCGCATCATCCAACATATCATCCAAAAAATCCAAGTCCTTCTCAATAGCCGAGATCTCATCCTCAAACTGGTCAGCCATTCCTTTCTCACCTTTGCTTCCACCACCAGCCTTCCTCAGATTTCCCTCCGCCTTGTCCAACATCCTCTCCACAGACTTCCCCTCCATCGCCAACGCATCAGTCTCGTTCCGCACCCGCCGATCCTGCTCATCCAGACGGCCGGCGTTCTCGTGGATGTTCTTCGCGCGGGCCTGGAGCTCGGAGTCAAGTGAGGCAGAGCCGGCGGCGGCGAGGGAGCCGTCGAATGCGGCACGGGCTTCGACTGTGCGCTGTTGGGGTGTGGGTGTGGTGGTCCGTCCGCCTGTGGCACCATGAGATGAGATTGCGGGCCGAAGAGGCTGTGGTCGTGCCTGGGAGGCGGAATTGGAGCGTGAACCGCCGGTTAAGGCAGAGAAGAGAGAAGCCATTGTGGTGTCTGAGCTCGTGAGTTGTATATCAGGTTCGGATGAAGCAAGGTAGAGGACGGGCGCATCTATCGAGATTGCTACCGGACGAGCAGATTCTTCTGCTATTCCGACTTTTGAGACGAAGTAGTAGTTCGATCCGCTGTGTGCAGAATATAAATGTTCGGCTGTGCAGGTGGGTCAACCGGTCGAGCCAAAGACCACGAAGTTGCGTCTTGTATGATCGATCAGGACCGGACTCCAGGGACGCTGTCGTTCGAAATGCTTGATATGAGCACCCAAACGTAAAATGTGTTGCTGATGAGCAATGCAATGACCTGTAGTGCATAGGAAGAGGGGTCGTCGTTGACTGGTCTATCGCCTTGAGAAGGCAACCAATTGGGGCCGGCAATGTTGTCACAGGCAAACATGCAAGTGCTCGTCGAACGAAGCCGCTATTGCACAACTATCGTCCCCACGAGTCTACAAGGAACAACACATTGTCAGTCGAAATTCTGCCTTCGACAGCCTCGATGAAGCGATGCTCGAAGCCTTCACGGCCCAGCCGATTGTCGAGCTGAAGCAACGCGACAAATCCAAGATCGAATGTATCCTCTCACATAGCGACCAGCTCCTCGTGGGCCTAAACACCGGCTCGTTACGAATCTACCGCGTCAACGCACCTTCCACGCCCGCCAACGGCACCTCCGACAATGCGCAGGCGAAGAAGCCGTCGGAGCTGCTCCGCGAGTACGAGCGTTTCGCAAAGTACAAGATCGAGCAGCTAGCCATATTCCGCGAAGCCAACGTGCTGATTTCCCTTTCGAATGGTCTGATCTCGCTACACGAGCTGGGCACATACGAGCTACAAGAGCAGTTGGCAAAGACGAAAGGTGCGTCGAGCTTCGCAGTCACCAGCAACATCGTCAAAGATGAATCGACGGGCATTCCCACACTGGTTAGCAGACTTGCGGTGGCGGTCAAGAGGCGGATACTGCTGTGGGAGTGGCACGAAGGAGAGTTGACGAGCGAGCACAAGGAGATCGCGCTGCCTAGCACGATCAAGCTGTTGCTATGGGCGACAGGGACGACGATCATCGCGGGCCTCAACACGCATTACGAGTTGGTAGACATCAGCAATGAGAACAGCAAAACAATCATTGGGCCTGGCAGCATTGGCGGACAGGCTGGACAAGACTCGTCGCGGCTAGGAGGGACAATGAGCTACATCGGCATGGGCTCTATGGTTCCCGATCCACTAGCGTCAGGCCTCAGCGAAAAAGAGATGCTACTGGCGAAGGATATCAACACACACTTCATTGACCGCAATGGGGAGCCTTTGAATCGGAGACAGATCCCTTGGAAGACCGCGCCTCAGGCTATCGGCTACTCGTACCCATATCTGCTCGCGCTGACCGAGTCTGCGAAAGGCGTGCTCGAAGTCAGAAACCCCGTCACACTGACAGTGCTCCAGTCAATTGATCTGCCAGGCGCCAACCGTCTGCAAGTCCCGAACCCGAACATCAGCCTCGCGCATCAGGGCAAAGGATTTCTGGTAGCCAGCGAGCGAGCTGTCTGGAGGATGCAAGGCCTCAAGTACGACGCGCAGGTTGATGCTCTGGTTGAGGCGAATCAGCTAGACGAGGCAATAAGTTTGCTGGATCTCGTCGAAGATACCTTAATCGAGGACAAGGATGGTCGACTGCGAGAGATCAAGATGAAAAAGGCACAGCGACTGTTCGACGACAAGAAATTCCGCGACTCGCTGGACCTTTTCGGTGAAGTCTCAGCACCACCGGAGCGGGTCATTAAGCTCTACCCGAAGCTTATTGCGGGCAGTCTGGCGGCTGAGCCAGAGTCCAAGGAGACGCGACAGGACACGCCAAAGAAGAGCCACAAGAAGAGTGTGTCCGTGCTGAGCGGCTCGTCCAAAGATGACGCAGCTGACGCAGCAAGCGTCTTGAGCACCAAACCCGCGGACGACGAGGGCTGGAGCGAGAAAGAGCTGAAGACGGCAGTTCGAGAGCTGCAAGCATTCCTCGCCGACGTCCGCCGCCGACTGCAGCGTTTCTTCAATCCTGATCAGAGCGTCAAGAGCTTGACGGAAGTACAAGAGCTGTTCAACGACGAAGACGTTCGACAGATGGTGGAATATCTCCTGGGCGTGTCATCGCTCGACGATGTTGACCTTGCCACACAGCTCACAACACTTGCAACACAGGTCGATACAACACTCTTCCGAGCACACATGTTCGCGACACCTTCGTTGGCTGGCTCGCTCTTCCGCATCGCAAATTTCTGCGACCCAGAAGTTGTGATAGACCGACTCGAGGAGTCCAAGCGCTATAGCGAACTGATCGACTTCTTGTACGGCAAGAAACTGCACCAGCAAGCACTGGAGCGGCTGCAGAAGTTCGGGAAGTCCTCAGAGGACGATGAAGTTGATGAGAATCTGCGAGGCCCAGCAAGGACGGTGTCGTACCTCGGAGGTCTGCCTTCCGAGCTGATCGATCTGATTCTCGAGTTTTCGAAATGGCCGCTCAGCGTTGACGCGAAGCTGGGAATGGAAGTCTTCACCGCCGACACCGAGAATGCTGAGACGCTTGATAGAGGCAAGGTGCTCAGCTTCTTGAAGTCGATCGATCAGAATCTCGCGCAGCGATACCTCGAGCATGTGGTGGATGAATGGAACGACCTCACGCCGAGTCTTCACCAGGAGCTGCTCAGCATCTACCTCTCCCGACTCAAGGCCGGAGAGCATGACGCAGAGCTGCTGGAAAGGTTCCTCACCATGCTACAAAACTCGACGCAGTACTCAGCGGCTAAGGTCCTTAACGAACTTCCCAAAGACGACGCCAACTTCTACGAGGCGCGGGCTATCCTATTCAGCAAGATGGGCAATCACAAGCAAGCGTTGGAGATGTACGTGTTCAAGATCAACGACAACTCGAAAGCAGAAGAATACTGCAACAAGGTTTATCTCGACATGATGAGCGAGTCGCCGAAGCCCAAAGGCACAATCGCGGCGCCTACTGCCGACCCAATGGACGAAGATCCCTCGATATACCACCTCCTCCTCAACCTCTACCTCAACCCGCCGAAAGGCGAAACTTCGCGCTATGCACCCGCAATCGAGCTGATGGCCAAGCACGGCGCTCGCCTCCCCGCGTCTTCGACCCTTGAACTCATCCCGCCGGAGCTGTTGGTGCGTGAACTCGAATTCTATTTTCGAGGGCGGATGCGGAATGCCAATACTATCCTGAACGAGTCGATGGTAGCGGCTGGGCTGCGGAAAGTGGATGCGGTCCGGGTGCAGGCCGCGCTGCAGCTCGGGCAGGGCAGCAAGTATGGTGGCCGCTCGAGGAAGGTGCGGATCGACGAGGAGCGGGTGTGTGGTGTGTGCCATAAGCGGTTGGGTGGGAGTGTGATCAGTGTCTTCCCGGACAACTCGGTGGTGCATTTGGGCTGTGCGGCGAGGAAGACGAGTGTGGCGGCTCAGTCGTAGACTCCTCCGTGGTCCATGCGTACGAATGATGGACAGGGCTAGACTAGACAATTCCATATAGCCATTGGCTTCAGTCTTCATCCTCAGCCTGCTCCTCGCCGTAGTTCTCTTCCTCGCGCTCCTCTTCCTCTTTCTTCGTGTTCTTGCTGCCGGCCTCTCGGGCCTTGTCCTCCTCCATCTTCTCCGTCAGGAACTTGTTGATGTCGGCTTGCAATGTTTTCGTGCTAGCGCGTACTTCGCCGAGGTATCGAGTGCGTTCGGCCGTGCTGGTGTTGGTGCCTGGGGCGGTGACTGGGATGGAGAATTTGTGGGAAGCGGTTGGGGAGGTGTAGTGAGCCGTTATGGTGCGCGTCTCGGGCGGCATGGTGTGGAAGCCCGCGGAACAAAGCAGAACGAGGGCGGCAGGAAGCGTCGTTGGTCGTGGTAGACTGCAGTGTACTTCTTGATTTTCCAGAACTTGATGTTGGACGGCGGAAGCTCGGGGCATGCGGGGATGATTTAGCCCCTCCAGCTTGGGCTCGACGACGCCTAATCTACGGGCGTCCGCTTACGTACTCAGGGCTGATAGTGCCCCATCATCGAATCTGTGATTCTGGCTCGACTTCACTTTTATTCGTAAGTGCATTTCGCATGTCGCTATGTACGTCTGGTCATCCACGCGAAGAATACGCGTGCTGTTATAACAATCACGAGACGATCGAACTGCCGGTCATGAGATGGTGACAGATCACTCGTCGCAGATTGATCCAGGACCACGAAAGCGACAGGACCTCGAGTCTTCCGACCTTCCACCTTGACATCTGCAGGCATACGAGCACACCGCAATTACCTAGGTATCAATCATGGAGCCACCACCTCTGCCTGCCTCGCGCCGAGTGCAGCGATCTCCCGCACCGGCGCCTCCTTCCTCGCCGCCGCCTCTCCCACTACCGCAGCAGCGACCGTCATCGTCTGCGAGCAGCCTGCGGCCTTCGTCGAGTGACAGCGAGGCCTCCTCCACCAGCGGCATCTCCGTCGTGAAACGTTCACCCTACAACGCCCAACTTCCTTCCTTCACCTCTCATACCAGGGCGAGTCCTAATCCTGGAACCACAGGACACACTCGTCCTTCCGCGCAGTACATGCCACATGATGGACCACGAAAGAACCTAGGAGGACCCCCACCAGAACACCTGCAGAAGCACAGACCACGGCAGCACTCTCAAGGCTACTTCGAGCCATCAATGCCCTCTGCTTCTCTCGCAAGTCAGTCGAACCTGGCTGAAGCCACCATGCCGACTCTGACGCCGTCTCAAATCGCTGCTCAGGCTGCCTTTTCACATATGAACCTGAATGTGCCCGGCTCGAATCAGAATCGAAGGCGATCCCAAACAGTCCCAGTCCCGGATGGACAGGTGCCCGGCGATGGTAGAAGAGACAGTAGGGGATCAGCCACCTCTTCGCAAGAAGATATCTCGCCGCCTGAGAAACCACAGTACCGCAATGGCCTGATTGGCAACAATGCTGCAACAACCGCCGCCAGTGCAGCCTTCCCGCGCCTGACTCCGAGCCAGATCAGTCAAGCTGAAGAGAAGGAGTCCAAGAGCAGATTCAAAAAGTTCAAGCCCAAGAATATGACTCTGTCGCGAGACAAGGACAAGGAAGCGAAAGAGAAGCCTATGCCGTCGCCCAACAAGCTTGCTCCTAGCGGTCTGTCAAAAGTCATCAATGCTTCCACCGCCAGCTTAGCAGACTCTCTGTCGTCTAACAACTCATCGCTGTATCAGCTCGCTGCAAATCCTTCGCAGACCACAATCATCCCGATCCCCGACAAACACAAACATCACGGACTGCGGCAGAAACTGAAGCTGAAAGACAAGGACGACCACCATGCACTTCCATTATCTTCCCAACATTCCAACTCGCAACCAGTCGATATCGAGAACCCCAAATCGCTCTACTCTTTTGCACCATCCTCACCAGGGCCAAGCTCTGGCTTCTCCAAATCCGTTTCAGGTCTCGATCTGAGACATGGCGGACGCGCACTTCGTGAGAAGAAGAAAGAGGAAAAGGCCCAAGCAAAAGCTCAAGCTCGAGAAGACGCATTGCATCCTATACAGTCCAGAGACAGCGACTTGTCAGAATGGCCATCTTTGGGACCCAGTACTACCAATTTGTCCGGATCGTGGACACCATACTCTACTGACTTCGGTCAGACCTTGGCGAGCTTCGGCCTCAACAACATGACACCAGACGATGCGTGGGACTTCCTGAAGGCGAAGCTTTTGAACGTCTTCGAGGGTGAGCATGTCAAGATTGCGGTCGAGGATCTCAACAAGCTTGTGGGGATCTACTTACAGCGATGTGTCCAAAGAATGGATCCAAGCATCGTCGTCGGCGATCTCGAAGATCTTTTACGCACTGGATTCGCCAGCCTGAACCACACTCTGCGCAACATCCGCGACGATCAGCTGGTACCTCTTCTCGTCAGCATGTGGATTACCGTCTTCACGGACATCCTCCCATACATGCAGGCCGTCCTTTTGCCTCTCGACCAAGAGTTCAAAGGTCGCGGAACCGTTCTCACCACACCCGCCAAGCGCCGAGTTCTGGGGCATGATCCCAAACTCTGAGAGCAGCGCTCTTTCGTCATCTCCTCCGGTGGGCGGAGATGGCTCAGATCCGAACGCCATGATCGCGGCCGGCGACGAGCTCGAAGTCCGTCGCATCCTATTGATCTGCTTCCGCGACATCGTCATCGTGCCCCGATACGACATCCTGAAGAATATATTCTCGAGACTCAGTCTGGACAGCATCAATGCCACACTCGCACATCTCGAGAGCGAAGGCCGCGCGCGTGGCAACAGCGACACGTTCAGCGCGAGCGACGGCAGACCGGGCACCGCGCATAGTCTCGACCCCAACTTGTCGAGCTACAATTCGCAAGCAAGCACACTTCTCGGCGGCGCTGCCACTTCTTCGGGAGGTCGGTCGAGAGCTACGTCGAACTTGTCCAACACCAGCAACCCAGGCCAGATCGACAGCAGCGCATTTCAGTCCTTCTCATCACCGCCCGCCGCCCGTCCATCCGATAACACCTCCTCACAAGTAACGGAGATCAGTGGGCGCATGCTGCAGTGTCTCAGCGTGCTGGCGAGCGTACAGACAGCGGACGAGGCACAGACCAAGATGGAGGAGCTGAATAAGCAGTTCAAACTCAACTGGCTGGGACGAGGTCGCACTGGTCGGAACAGGAAGGGCTTTATTGGGACGAGGATGCGCACTGTCAGATCAGCGGGAGCGAGTACGATGGACACTGCGAGGGGGACGGTGAGGATGATAAGTGAGAGGGAGGGGAGTCCCACGCCGACGCCGACGAGGCAGGGAACCGTGAGCAGACAGGGCTGAAGGCATTTACGCGCCGGTAATTGTGCTTGCTGACGGATGGATGACCTAGCATGATGGAAGAACAAAGATACCCCTACTTATTATACATGTACTAAATTGCATATGGTGCTGATCTCAAGTCACCTCACCCAAGACAATCCCAGTCCCTCTTCCCAACAGCGGCGCCCCCCTCTCCCTTCTCAGCGCATTACTCCTCGCAATAACCTGTGAGTCAAACGCCCACCACCAATCCCGGAACAGCTTCTCGCCGACCTCCCAATTCTGATCCGAAAACGGATCATCGCCATGTATGCGCGACCCTTCCGCTGCATCCTCCAGATCGTACACGAAATCCACGAGTGCCGTCGGCTTCGCAGCCGCAGGCGGCCGGATCTCCACCGGCGTAGAGAAGACGAGCAACATCTTATCGCGCACCGTTGGCCACGGTAGCAGATCGACCAGTGGGTGATGTGGTACGCGGCGTTGTAGTGCGGTGGGCTGGAGGTTTTGGGGAGGTGGGAATAGTCCGCGAATGCATTTTCAGGGAGGACGAAAGGAGAGACGCCCTCGAGGTCCCACATCATAGGTAGGAGGCCGAGGCGCAGGGCGATGGAGTGGGCGCCACGCATTAGGTCGAGGGAGGGAATGCCGAGATTGTGTTCGTCTGGGAAGGAGATGGCGTTTGGTGGAGACGCGTTGGAAGATGTGGGGGACGAGAATGAGGTCAGGGAGGAGGTATGTGACGATCGTGGCGAGGACGGGAGGGATGGCAAGGGCCAGAGGCTGTCGGTGAGTTGGAGGTCATCCGGGAAGGCGATAGCATGATCGAAGGCGTTGTACCCGTTCCCGATCGGTACTTGTTCGTCAAATATGTCTGGCGGAAATGCTTCCTGGAAGTCCTGCAGGCAGGGAGTTTTAGCTTGCTCTGGAGGTAGCGAGTTGAATTGCCGCTGGTTGACGTCTGGGTGGTTTCTTTGAGAATCGACGAGATCTCTCTCTGCTTCGCTGTTTGCAGTCGAGGACAGGGTGGCTGCCTCGAGCTTGTTGAGATGCTCTTTGCGTTTCTGGCGATATCGTCGCTGGGCTAGTACATTCAGTATGCGTTTTCGTTCCGCGGGATCTTCGTCCTTGCGGGGAACATCTAAGGCGGGTGCCTTTCTCTTTGGCGGACCCATTGCACAAGAATGACAGAAAGAGGCTGTTGTAGATCTATGCAGTGGACCACACGTCTCGCCATCACGACCGCGGCGGGCTGCCCTGCTTTTATGGCATGGTAGTATTTGGGAAGGAAGCCAAGAGCATAACGCAAAGGCTGAGGGCGTGAACTCAAAAGGTGCACTCCACTGCACACTGACCACGAATCAGAGCTTGGAAGACCTAAAAGTGCCGATGAAAAAGTCTTGCGATACTGCTAATAAAGCCTTGAAGGCCACTAAAACAGCGCAAGCATAACGGTAAGGCTGGATTGTCGACGCGGACACGACGACATCAGGCGGCCGACACGGATACGATAAATTGTAGCAAGTCTTCCATGACTTTGTCCGCATGCGTCAGGAATAGACCATGCGCGGCCTTCTCATAGATTTTGACCTCGCAGAGTCCGTTGGGCACGAGGTCTTTGATGAGCAAGGCGCTGGCAGATGCTGGCATTCCTGAGCCATGAATCAGTACGGCTGGGCTTTGCCAACAACGGCTACGTACCTTGATCACCATCGCCATGCAGCACCAATACTCGCTTGTTCAGCCCGCGAAGATTCTCCGAGAAGTCTTTGCCCGTGATGATGATCGGACAGCGCTCGACTGCAAGAGCATCTGCCTGGCGGATGATGTGCTCAAAGTACTCGATCTTGGTTGGCGGTAATTCCTATACACATTAGCTCGACACAATGCCGCATCGGAGCACACTCACAATATCTAGACCCATCTCCTTCCTCGAACCGAAGACGCCATCAATCGCGACCTTGACGAACCCAACGCGATCCGCACGGAACCCACCAAGAATTGAATCCCAGACTTCGCGACCTGGCGCTGTGGGATTGGCATCTGATTTTAATGGGTAAGGTAGGCTTGGACCCAGCCATAGGAAACCTTTGCACGCGGCTCCCAACCTCTGCAGCTTGCTTCCCACTTCTGCTCGGTCCAGGATCTCCTGAGCAAGCACACTCTCGCCCGGACCCATGCTAGCTGCAACCCAAGCCCAGTCGCCGGTGATGTTCGCTGCATCTAGTATCGCAACTGTGTCGTGAGCGAAGGTCTCGTACGTGATCTCTCCGGCGTCTTTCGGACCAGTCCACTCGGATCTGCCGAAGCCGCGGCGGTCTGGTGCGATGCAGCGGTCGTGGTGGTTTTGGGAGAGGGGCAGGGTAAGGTGGGTATACATCTCTGACGAGAAGGGCCACCCGTGAAGGAACACGAGCGTGAAGTCTCGGGGAATAGCAGCTGTTCTTAAATCTGCTGGAGAGAACGCTGGGGAAGCAGATTCGTCAGAGCCTGTGGCGGAGGGTCGATAGTCTGTGTAGAACAGGCGGGCGCCATCGACAGGAGACACTATTGAAGGCATATTGACTGCGTGGATATGCTGATTGGACTAGGACTGGCTTTTCTGGTATCTGCAAGCTCAAATACGTTGAGCGGACGAGGACTGCATTTATCTTGTATCTGTATCATGGCTGTCAATTGCACGAGCATAACGGCAGTGCACCATAACGTAAGGGCGTCTCCCCGTCTTGACACTTCCATCAATGTCTCTTCACCGCCTGGCAGCAGGCTCGCGACGTATTCGCGATCGCAGGCATGAGCTGGCACGCAACGTGGTGAGCATAATTTATGTCTGTTTGATCCACTGTTAGGAGGGCCAAGTAGTCACGGAGTAAACTGTAGACGGTTCTGTCTAGATACATTGAGGTTTGATAAGCTATCCTACCTGGACATAACACGCGGAAGGCTGCCATCGATGTCAATGCGAACAGCATGTCTGCAATGAAGACACACAACATTGGCACCATTGCGGTCTGTGTTGTCGCAAAGCAGATGCAGAAGTACAGGCCCCTTTCCCCCACACCCATCCCTACTGCGTGCCTGACATGCTGTGGGGTAAACTCCACGGACCGAGGCTTTCACGGCTTCCCTTCACAAACGAGGCCAAGATCCGAGGAGCGAGATGCTGCTGACACTGGGCATTTGCCATTGTTGGCAGCGCAAGATTTGAGACATAGAAGGTGAAGCTTGTTGCTGGGCTTCGTGCTTGTACTTAAGTCGAAGTTTCTGTGACGGAGACTTGTTCACGGGTCTCGCAATCCGCAGCGGGTAACTATACGGTCTACGATCGATAGCAGACCAGCATCACACCATGCTACTCCACGTGGGTATTGTCCCTCCATAGCTGCTGTTCTAACGGGACCGACAGAGAAGATCCGCACGCCACTGACGGACCTATTCGGCGTCAAGCACCCGATCATGCTCGCCGGCATGGGTGTTGCGGCCAGTCCGAAACTCGCCGCAGCCGTGAGCAATGCCGGCGGGATTGGTGTCATTGGTGGCTTCGGCTATAGCCCGGACGGGCTTCAACAGCAGATCGATGAGCTCAAGTCCTATTTCAACGACAAGGACGCGCCCTTTGGTGTGGATATCTTGCTGCCACAGGTTGGAGGGAACGCGCGGAAGACGAAGTATGGCCGTGCCTTGTCCACGGAAATGTGTGGCTGACGGTCTCCCAGCTATGACTACACGAAAGGGAAGATCATGGAGCTAATCGACGTTGTTGTTGACGCGAAGGCCAAGCTCTTTGTCTCTGCGATCGGTGTGCCACCCCGTGCTGCCGTGGACCGTCTTCATGCGGGCGGAGTCATGTACATGAACATGGTTGGGCATCCAAAGCACGTCCAGAAGTGCTTGGATTTGGACGTCGACCTGATCTGTGCGCAAGGCGGTGAAGGCGGCGGCCATACAGGAGACATTCCACTCTCAGTTCTGATCCCGGCTGTGGCCAAGATTTGTAAGGGTAAGAGGAGCAAGTTCACTGGACAGGAGGTCCAGGTGATCGCTGCTGGCGGAGTGTCGGGCGGCGACAGTCTGGCATCGGCTTTGATGCTGGGCGCTTCTGGCGTCTGGGTCGGAACGCGATTCCTTGTCGCGCATGAGGCTGGTGTATCGAATGCGCACAAGGACTCGGTGATCAGCGCGACTGTTGATGATACTGTGCGGACGGTGATATTTTCAGTACGTCTAGAAGCGCTGATGAAGCGCTGATGAGCGTAGAGCTAACGAATACTAGGGCCGTCCTTTGCGAGTCCGAAGAACCGACTATATCACCAATTGGGAGGAGAAGCGCCAGGAGGAGATCAAAGAGCTGACGGGCCGAGGCATCTTGCCTGTCCAGCATGACGCGGACAAGCATCCAGATGACGAGCAAGTGACGGACAACTTGCATCCGCAGCTGATGGGCGTGGTCGCAGGACTGATCAGTCAGAAAGGCAGCGCAAAGGAGATCGTGGACGAGATGGTCGACGACGCAGCGGACAGGTTGCGATCTGGTGGGCTTGCAGTTGTTGAAAAAGCCAGACTGTAGGCCCTTCCGTATCGACGCTTAGATTTCATTTCGAAAGCCACGAGTGGTCAGATCAAGGCCAACTTCCATCCCAGACTTGCCAGTGCTTTGCGCCACGCCAGGTCTCCGAGAACGGTGCTCTTAGTTTCGTGATCGAGGTCTTGCTGCTTCCAGATCGTCTCGATTGCGGTCTGTACCATCGGAACATTGCTTCTGGGCCGATGGCAGAGCAGCGATGCGAAAAGGTCGAGGATTCGATGTCTTTGATCTTCGCAAGCAAAGTTGGCAGCTATGAAGAGAGGCCACAGAGGATACGGCATGCAGCCGACATCCGATCCTTCCATCTGATGCAGAAGCTCTAGGATCGACAGCAGTCGGGGATGGTGGTCATTGCAGATTGATGCTGAGTATCTGGGCAAGCCGAACACCGCGTGGTTCAAGTATATATGCGCCGCTTCCAAGTACGCCTCAGCCGTCAGGAGCACGTAGTCTCCAGGGTCATCACGACCTGGAAAATGCTGGTCCAAGTCTTGTAGCCTTTGGTAAAGACATTTCGCCGCGGTCAGTGAAGTGTCAGAGACGCCTTGATCAATGTGGATTCTGTGGCGCTGGCGACTTAAGCGGCTCGCAGTGTGAATGATGTCAAGCAATTCCGGGGAAAGTCCTGTATATACATCGATGCGCATGCTGTCCTCCTTCCGCGGTTTGACCGGTAGGATGCTCGAAACAACAGCAGACAGAAGCGGCGCGCCACTGGCGACCAAATTCGGCTGTGTCGCGTCGAAGAACACATCGACAAGATTGAGGCACGAATAGACGAGGCCCAACACCTCAGCAGAAAAGGCCGACAATCCATACAATTGTCCGAAATGGTGTATAACAGCGGTACAGCCCTGAAGATGGGTTGACCACTGCCAAGTTGTTCCATCTGCAATGTCAAGATACGTCAGAAGGAACATGGTCAACAACAGTGCATCGCGGTCATTCCGAGTCGTGGCGTGTGCGTCAAACTTTCGATGATGCAATCGGAGCAACGAGAGGACATTCTGCTTGTGCTCAAGTAGGCTCAGCTCATAGCTTGCGACAGCTGGGAGATGGGTTCGATTACGAAGGTCGTTTGCAGCGAAGGCCATGATGGCGTACCGTTGGATTTCAGATTCGTGGCTCAGTGGTAGGACTATAGTTCGAAATGCGTTGTTGTCGGTGTCGATCATCATCACTCGCCGACGGCACACAACGTCGTGATCTGTGTGTATCAGCATCGTTGAGGGCATCGGGAGTTAGTCAGGTGAAGGGACGAACAATAACGAAAGAGAAGCTCTCCATCCTTGCGCCGGAAAACAGCCGTCTCTGGGTGGCACACGTTCACTGCATCCAAGGAGCCTGCGTCGAAGCGGCGGAAGCTGCCAGTAACCTTTCCACCTGCCGACCGGCCGCTGACAGCATGCTCGTCACAGTGGCGGCGAATATCTTCGCAGGTGGTGTTGAGCAGATGTCTTGTGCTACGGAACGGGAGCGATAGAGGTAGCGATGACGATCTTACGGGGCCTGCAGCGGCTGGCGTAGACTAGGACTTCTGCCACTTCAGACTCAGAGAATAGTCACAAGTCTGAATGCCACGATTGACACAACTACTGCATCTGGGTCTGAAGCCATCACAGCGACGCCGCCGGTCTGAGCGAGAGAGGGTCAGCGCGCGGCTTCATTGTCCAAGACTGTGTACATACCCTTGCATTGTCGACATCCTTCGCGAGACCGCTGTCTTGCTACCAAAGCTGTGTCCAGAGTCCCCAGACCTGATCTCATAGGATCTTGGATGCAGCTGTACGCATAGCGCTACGTTTCCGATGAGGTGGCTCGTCCGCTGGTCAACATGCCGGGTTGGCGGGGCCGGCCATGGTGTTCTGTGCGAGGAGCATGAGGTAGTTCGATACGAAGCCACATATTGGGCTTGGGCGGTGTTTTTCTCCATCAAGCCCACGCCAAGCCCGGAAGTCAAGGCGCGTTCGACTTCCTCCAGGAACCGCGATTCCACAAAACTACTCTTATCTATAAGCCGTCTATTGAGCGGCAAACTTCGCAGTCAGCGCAATACTGACTATTCTGCGCAACGATGGGGTCTCACTGGGCCTAGTCTGCGCGAGCCTGTACAACATGCAGGCTGAAGCTAGTCTGTGTCGGAAGACCGGCAACGGATCATTAATAGATCGAGTTCCAACTCATCCTTATGGGCATCTCACGGCGTATCATTTTCTGCGGTGATACCACCCCCAGCAGCGCACGATCCTGACATTATCCGACGCATTTGTCTCATGTCACGTTCTCATATCAGCCACAGAGCTCTGAGAATATCTCAGCAAATGTCCCTGGCATCATGGCGTTAACGACTTCCTTCTTGATCGTGGGCGGCGGCACTTTCGGGACTGCCGCCGCCTACGAGCTCACTCGACGGGGCTATACATCAGTCACAGTTCTTGACCGGTCTGCCCCGCCATCTTGCGAGGCAGCTGGCAATGATCTCAACAAAGCAGTCCGTGCAGACTATGCGGATCCATTGTACGTGAAGATGGCAACGGAAGCAATCGACGCATGGCGAGACCCGAATGGTCTGTACGCTGGACTGTATTCGCGCACGGGCTGGATCTTGGCGTCGGACCAGGATGCCAGTGAATGGATCAGGCAATGCTCTGCCACCGCTGCAGGGCTCGGTGTCGAGAACGCACAGGATATATCGTCGGAGCAGATCAAGGCAAGATGGCCAGTTCTGCGAGGTCCTATGGCCGACTGGAGTACCTTCTGGAACGGCAGTGCTGGCTGGACTAATGCTCGAGAAGCTCTGAATCGCGTGGCTAAAGCGGCGATGAACAGAGGCGTCAAATACATCAGCGGTTCGGCAGGTCAGGTCGATTGTCTGCTGTACGATGAACGCGGCAGATGTATCGGAGCGCGATGCCGGAACGGCAACGCGCACTACGCAGATCACGTGGTCCTGGCCGCCGGAGCATACAGTGCTGCGTTGCTAGATCTCAAGGGCCAGCTAGTTGCAAAGGGCCATTCAGTAGGACATATCAAACTCACCAAGAATGAGGCAAAGAAGTATGCTGATATGCCACTCGTGGCACATATGACGGGAGGTAACGTAGAGCACAACCTCCCTCCACTTCCGTATACTAACGCGCACAGGTCTCCTCTTTCCACCACAGGAGGACGACATCATTAAGTGCTCAGCCATGCAGTTTGTAACGAATTACGCCGGCACCCGGCGCGGACTGTCACTGCCGAGATACCGAACAGACTACCCCGGCGATGGCTTGCCTGCGCACATCGAGAAAGCAATGCGATCGTTCATTGGACAAGTGCTACCTGAGCTTGAGCATCGAGAATGGTTCGAAACGCGAATCTGCTGGTAAGTCTTCATGCAGTTTTAGTCCCACGTCTGCTGAGAACGATACTCACACGACTGCAGGGATGCCGATATGAACGACTACAACTTCCTGTTCTCGCATCACCCGCAGCATGCTGGCCTGAGCCTTGCGGTCGGAGGCTCCGCGCATGGCTTCAAGTTCTTCCCAATCATTGGCAAGTACATCGTAGATATGCTCGAGAGTAAGCTGGATCCAGCTACACGACAGCAATGGAGATGGCGACCGGATGCAAAGCGTCCCGCAGATGCTCCCGAGCCTCATCCCGCAGAGCTGCTTGACCTCAATGACTTGCCGGGATGGAAGCGGCCCAGAGCCATGTTGTGAGAGGCAAGACGGCCGAGTGCCAGCATGACTATGCACATTTCTTTCGCAACAGTGCCTTTCATACTCACTTTCAGCCGATTGCACAAGGTATAGCATTGTCGCGCTTTCACCCGTCCTGACTGCTCCATCACTTCACATATGATGCGAGCTATAGAGGCTCGGGATTTGGCTCAGCGATGGGTGCTCGAGTATAAGCCATGCCTCGCCCGAGACTCCGTTCGAATGCACCCCTCGACCCGCTTAGGCTATCAATGTGGCTTATGGACCATATATGGAGCGGTCAATCATGAGAATGACATGGCCATGATCGGCAATCGCGCCTCGAGGACCCTGGCTCTGCAACAAACCTCGTGGACTCAACGCTGTCCGGAGATCTCCTCCCGCAGTCCGCAAACATCCCACGCTTGACTCCACGGTGCCGCCGAGTGTTAGCCGAAACCGTGCTTCCACTTTCCTGGACTTTTCGGAAACCCACTCTTTTTCATACTACGCTGGCTCTCTGGCCCAACATTCGTGGACACAATACTTTCTTCGCTATCAAGAATCTGGAGAGAAGTAAACCTTATCTTGATAGCGCGTGGCCCATTGCTGCTCCGATATCAGAGGCTTGGTGTTGTACAGGTCGCCAAAGATGGCCACTCTCATGTACAAATGCCATGAACTTCCACTTTCAGAAGCACCGGCTCCTTCTGAGGCTATGCACGAGCCTTCTCTAAGGCCACTCGCGGACAATGGCCATCACGCAGCACGAATCGTCGAGTATCGACGCCGGCCATGCCTCCAAGCCCGACTACAGCAAAGCAGCCGAGGCCAGTGTCGATGTTGAGTCCACTGGCGATTCCCAGGAGCTTGCTAATGGAACTCTTGTGCGACATGAAGAAGCAAAGTTACACCGCTCCTTCACCTCTCGCCAAATCCATGTGAGTGGCACGACCTGAGCTCTGGTCAGAGTCATACTGATGATTTAGGTCGTTTCACTCGGCGGACAGATCGGAGCTGGGCTCTTCATATCATCAGGCCTCATGCTACGCAATGGCGGACCAGGCAGTCTCCTGCTTTCCTTCCTGGTTGTTTGCTCCTGTGTATGGGCAATTCTTCAGACGGTCAGCGAGATGACGATCTCGTTTCCTGTGTAAGTCAGAAGAATTCTTGCAGAATTTGGGCTAACAGTAAATTGATCAGCTCGGGCAACTACATTGACTATGCGGATCGATTCGTGGATCCGGCTTTGAGCTTTTGCGCTGGCTTCAGTATGTGGCTTGGCTGGACGGCAATCATTGCGGCTGAGGCTGTTTTCTTTGCAACGGTGGTCGGCTACTGGGCAGGCGATACGGTGCATCCGGCAGTCTGGTGTAAGTCTTCGGCACCGTAGCGCTCGTCAGCCTACTGACCACTGTCGCAGACACGATCTTTCTGGTTCTCATGATCGTCATATTCTGCGTACCAGTTTCGGTGTTCGCATGGTTTGAGTACGGCACCGCGTTACTCAAGGTAATTGCGATGATCGTATTCATGATCACGGGCCTCTGTCTTGTGCTCGGCGCTGGCCCGAACGGACAAGTCAAAGACGGCTCTACCTGGCACGACGGACTGGCCTTCAGGAATGGCTTCCAGGGGTTCGGCAGCTGTGTCTTGCTGGCAGTCTCCGCCATTGGTGGTTCGTCATAACCTGGACTATGTGACTGAGCTGTGCTGACAATTATTAGACAACACTTTCACCGGGTTTGTCGCTGGCGAGGCCAAAAATCCTCGGTATGCTGTTGCGCACGCTGCCTTCCTCATTCCGATCCGAGTGACTGTCTTCTACAGCTTGTCAATGATCTTCATTGGTCTGCTTATACCAGCAACAAATGCCCGGCTCTTCGGCGGTTCTGGTGTCTCAGCATCGCCATTCGTCATCGCCATCGACGAGGCCGGCATTATAGGTCTTCCTGACTTTCTGAATGTGGTAATCGTCTGTGCCGTGTCTTCTATCGGCGCCGAGAGCCTTTTCATCGCCTCGCGGATGCTGCGGTCCATGGCTGCGCAAGACCTCATTCCTTCACGATTCGCCACTGTGGACAACGCTGGGCGGCCACGCTGGGCTGTCGCCATCACATGAGCGACAGCTATCCTCCTGACATATATCAATCTCAGCGCAGGCGGAATCGAGGTCTTCAACTGGCTTGTTCAGATCGCATCGACAGGGTATTTCGTCGTCTGGATCGTCATCGCCATCACGTCCTTCGGCTTTCGAAGAGCATTGAAGGCTCAAAACGATCCACTGTTCAACGAGACATATGCCTGGAAGTGTTCCTTATGGCCATTGCCACCGATTTGGCTCCTGATTTGTGGTGCTTTCTACACTGGATGCTCCTTCTACCTCGCCCTTTACCCGATAGTAAGTCTTCCTCACCCGTGCATCAAGCAGTGCTGACAATTTGGGCAGGATATTGATAAGCCGAACGCCAAGTCGTTCTTCCAGTATATGTTCGGCCTGGTGTTGATCCTGGTGACTGGTATTGGCTACAAGGTAGCCTTCCGGACAAAAATGAGAGATCCACGCGATGTAGATCTCCATACAGGGCGAAGGACATTGCAAGCAGAAGAGATCAATAAGCTCGACTGGTACTACGCCCTATCTACCTGGAGGAAGGTCGGCAAGTTTGTGCAGCTTTGGTGATGGGACGCATGAAGCCGAGCGTGGTAGTTGGTCTGGTGGAAGTTGCCTCAAGGATCAAGGTTGGCATGAAAGTCGGTGCTCGAGATGGTCCACAAGCTCTGTGCAGGGATCTGGAGTCGCCCAATGCTTGGCGAGGGCGCACTGTGCAGCTAGGCAGCTAGAGAAGGGCATGACTCTGCTCTTGACGGGCACAAATGTAGATCCAGTTGGTATCATGATTGCGACGAATCTTCGCGCACTGCACCGCACTGGGCCATAAACGTTGTTCATTCAGTACGCGTTGCAACCGGGCATGACGCGTTTTGCCGAATACGTCTGCGATTCGCGTGGTGAGCGTGGCAAGTCAAGCTATGCGTTTCAATGGCGATGCTGCAGCAGACGCGACGTGGAAACATGCGACGACGAGGGACAAGCCTGCAAGCAGACAGTTGGCCCTCCTCGCGACCGTAGAGCAGGAACGAGCCGCGGCACCGCCGCTGGCTGTGGTTGGTGGATCGTGTCATCCGTTGTTTTGCACCGAATTTCTGACGAGCTACATTTCCGCGTTCTCGCCATCAATTACAGACGTCAGTCGATCTTGCTGTGCCGGATTCAGTCTCCGTGATCTGCCTTCTACGAGTCCACTATGCCGTTGAAAGAGGACAGATCGAGCAGTCCGGAGCGAAAAACCCGTCCAGGGCGCCAGAGCAGGTTCCACCATCATCCATGAGCTTACACCTTCCGCTACTCACGAGGCGCGTAGCTCATCGACACTTGTCGGACCCTTGAAAACCTTTGCAAAAAGTCGAGGCAGCCGCTTAAGCGTCCTCCAGTGAGCTCAAGCCGGTTTCAAACGTGGAGCCTCGAGGGAAGCGAGGGTTTGCAATTGCGTCCGGAACAATGCTCCTGCTTAGCAGTTCCTGAATCATTGCACAGACACCGCTACCATGGGAATTGACAAATGTCTCCATGACGGGCGAGAAAGCCATGTCCATGACGACAGCTCCGATCGCAGGTAACAGGTAGGTACATATCTCCCGGACTGTCCGCTCGCTGTCCCATTGCCACCCATATCAGATCTTTCAGAAAGCAGGATGGGATCAATTGCTCAAAGTGCCAAAGAAACACTGACTACAGTCGCCGCCGGAATGACGCAGAACAAGAAGATTGCTGATCTCCAGCGCGATATTAAAGACGCCCACACCAAACAGAACACCACGACCGATTTCGGCGTCAAGATTGATGACCTGGATCACTGGTTGAAGAACGTCGACGAGAAGAATGGACGGGTTGGTTCGCACTATCTGGAGGATCAAATCGGCCGCGAACGGGTATGTGCCATCGTCGTGACTTTCGACAGTACTGATAGAAGAGCAGATTCATCGATTCGACCATGAACGCATTCCCGAACGCGTTGTCCATGCCAGGGGTGCCGCTGCCCACGGCCACTTCAAGCTCTTCGAAAGCGCGAGCGATGTCACGTCGGCTGGCGTCCTGACCGATACCTCACGCACGACTCCCGTCTTCCTTCGCTTCTCCACGGTCCAAGGCAGCCGGGGAAGTGCCGACACCGTTCGTGACGTTCGTGGGTTTGCAGTCAAGTTCTACACAGATGAAGGCAACTGGGACATTGTGGGCAACGATATTCCGGTCTTTTTCATCCAAGAGAGCATCAAGTTCCCGGACATCGTCCACGCGGTGAAGCCGGAGCCGCACAATGAGGTTCCGCAGGGTCAATCTGCACACAACAATTTCTGGGATTTTGTGTACCTCAACAAAGAGTCCACGCATATGTACCACTGGAACATGTCAGATCGAGGCATCCCACGATCCTACCGAATGATTCAGGGATTTGGCGTCAACACCTACTCCCTGATCAACGCGGAGGGAAAGCGTGTGTTTGTCAAGTTCATCTTCACACCTGAGCTCGGCGTTCACTCTCTTGTCTGGGATGAGGCTCTGAAGCTTGCTGGCCAAGATCCAGATTTCCATCGCAAGGATCTTTACGAAGCTATCGAAAATGGCGCTTTTCCCAAGTGGAAGTTCGGCATTCAAGTCATCAAGGACGAGGATCAAGACAAGTTCCCCTTCGACATCTTCGATGCCACGAAGCTGTGGCCCGAGGAGGACATCCCTATTCGCTACATCGGCGAGCTTGAGCTCAACAGGAACGTCGATGAGTACTTCACCGAAACCGAACAGGTTGCCTTCTGCACATCTCACATCGTGCCGGGAATCGACTTCTCACCAGATCCTCTTTTGCAGGGCAGGAATTTCAGCTACCAGGACACGCAGCTATCACGACTTGGGATCAACTGGGAGGAGCTTCCCATCAATCGGCCAGTGTGTCCATACATGAACTTCAACCGCGATGGCCAGGGACGCCACACCATCACCAAAGGCCAGGTGAACTACTGGCCAAACCGGTTCACCGCCAATCCGCCGGCAAACCATACCGGCGCCAAGGATGGATTCAAGTCCTTCCCTGCTCCCGAGTTCGGCGTCAAGTCCAGGTCACTGCCCTCGGGTCCGAAATGGTCAGATTATCTCTCCCATGCACAGCTTTTCTACAACTCTTTGTCGCCGATCGAGAAGCTTCACATGACCAACGCGTTCTCCTTCGAGCTTGATCATTGCGAAGACCCGACTGTCTACACCCGAATTGTGGACCGCTTGACCGAGATCGATCTCTCACTGGCGCAGGCTGTAGCAGAGAAGTGCGGCGCCCCAACACCCACCGAAGCGAAAGCCAAGAACCACGGCAAGAAGGCCAAGGGTCTCTCCCAACTCGAGTACATGCCCGCCGAGCCCACAATCGCATCCCGGCGTATTGCCATCCTCATCGCAGACGGCTATGACCACGCAAGCTACTCAGCTATTGTCAGTGCCATCCAATCCCAGATGGCATTGCCTTTCACCATTGCGCCGAAACGCCAGCCCTGTACCGCCTCCAATGGCAAAGACACTGCGCAGCCAACGAGTCACTTCAATGGCATGCGCAGCACAATGTTCGACGCGGTTATTGTGCCTAACGGCAGTCCGGACTCGATCAAGACGCTCATCACGAATGGCTTGTCGAGATTCTGGGTGCGCGAAGCATTTGGCCATGACAAGGCCGTCGCTGGTGTCGGAGAGGGTGTGAAGCTCGTCCAAGCGGCTATCGCAGAGGCAGAGGGCTATCAGGTCGTCGATAATGCTGCGCAAGGCGATGGAGTGAAGGAATGGTACGGAGTCGTCACGGGCGGGGCGAAGGTAAAGCTAAGCACCGACTTCAAGATCACTCAGGATGGACAGGGTTTGCTCGAGCAGTTCTTCTTCGGCGTCAGTCAACATCGTTGCTGGGCTAGGGAGCTGGATGGCTATGCAAGCATGGTCAGTATCTGATAGACAGGTCATGACCAAGGCGGCCTTCTCGTAAATAAGCCACAGCTTCCATTGAGATATATGGCGGAAATATATAATGATACCAAAATCAGCCCACATCACCGAATCAATTCGCTCTTCCAACCTGCTGCATCCCGCCCAGAGTGCTCTTCCTCCGCCCATTCTGAACCTTCTTGGCCGTCCTGTATAGCGAGCTCTCGCGCATGCTGGTCGCATCATCGTTCATGTCTAACGGAACTACAACATCGACAGTGTTGCAGAACGCCATGTATACCTTCCTTCCCGTAGTGACGGAGGCGCTGGACTTTCTGCGGGGATAGCCACGCGCATCCCAGCGACCTGCAGATGATTCCGGGAGCAGCGTTGTCTCTGTGTTGACTGAAGGACTGTAGTCACTTGCCGCATAGCTCGCAGACCGAATGCTGCTTGCGGTGGTGGTCGGCTGCGTCAAACCATGGCCGTGGTCCGTTGGCAAACTGAAATTCCGATGACCGATAGGTTGGGCATCGCTTGTGTCTGTGTGTTGAGAACCAAGAGCCGTATTATGTTCGTGATTGTCCACGCGGTTTCTAGCCCGATTCTCGAAACTCGCCCTTGGCGTGAGCGAGCCGTCTGTCCGCTGTGCCTCATCCATTTGCTCTGTGTCTATTGAGGGCGTGTTCCTCGTAGGCTGCATGGCCGATGACTTCTGCGCCATTGCATCTTATCACAAGGGAAGCAGAGGTTGAGACACGCACTCGCCACTCGCCCGAGTGCAACGTAGTCTAATTGAGAGGGCAGCCAATGATGTCATGGCTTGGTGTCGGCCGTGAACTCAATGGGCGGTGGTGTCGGCAGCGCCAAGCCCATCACCTCTTCGTCGCAACAATCTGCCTCGTTCGTGGCATTCTAGGCAACGAGGCTCGCCTCCCCTGCAATAAAGGCATGGCATACCGTCTACGCATGCTCTGACACCAACCGTATTCCGTCTCTCTGTTCGTGCATTCCGCACCAAGGATCGCACGCCAACCTGTGTGATAGCCGAAGTGGCGCCAACCCGACTATCCGAGCGCGTCACTCCCGTCACCAGAAATTGCGCCCGTCCCTGCGCAACGGCTCGCGGCTACGTCGTAGACCGGCTGCTCGCTTTCAAAGGCTACAGCCGAAGAACATCTGTCTGACTGTTATCTGCTGTCATGAATTGTCCGTGACCAGTGTCTCTAAATCTAAGCTGTGCAGCACGAGCAAGGAGGTTTTGACCTCGCATCTATCGCTCCTCACTTGCCTTTCGCCCCATGACCGGAGATCCTCTCCCCAGACTCACTAATCGGCGTGGCGGAACCGATGTCAACGACATCAACAAGTGCCTTACCACCGTCAGCCAATTTGACTAGTTCGCCATGCGCGCCTTCGATCTCGGCAACAGGCTTCGACTGCGCCTTAGTTCTGAGATACCAATGCAAACCCCAACTGGCAGGTATGAGTGCAAGCGCCATAGACAAGCAGAATGCAAAGCCTTTTGGATACCTTGGTGCCTCCGTGGTTGGGAACACTAGCAGGGGCGTCCACGCGGTCGAAGACTGGCTGATCGCATTGATCAAAACCAGCGTAAAAGACCTCTCCTCTGGTGAGTCCTTCAGTAAGTTGTTTACCCAACCGTGGAAGACGCTCGACAATGCATTCGCAGAATATGCCGTGCAGAATGCGAACCATTTGGCAGACTCTGGCACATTCCAGATCGTCAAGATCAACAAGCCGAGTGCGTTCCAGCTTGACGCCATGGTGATCGCCCACGCTGGACCGATCAACAGATCCGACATGAAGCAAGCGAACAGAGTGTAGAAGATGCCAAGAGCCGGTGCCACTGTGCCAAGCTCGTTGATGTGTGCTTTAGTGTATCTTCCCAACGACTTGATCCAGAGTAGGAAGCCACCAGTAGATATGTGTGTGCCAGCTTGCCAAAAGAGCACATCGACGAGGATGACTGTCCAGAATTGAGGCTTCGAAACAATGCTTCTGAAGTTCCTGAGCTTCAGCTTTCCGTTCGTCTTGTGGCCAGCTCTCTCGAGACGTTTGCGGGCAATGGCGACGTCTGAGTCCTTCAAGATCCATTTGTTTGGCTGATCGACAGTGCCAGGGATCATGAAGTATCCAAGGATACCAACGGGAATGGTGATAAGAGCTGCGTACTCGTCAGTACATAAGTAGTCAGCAGCAACGACAGCTAAGACCTACCGCAGATGATGTACATCCACCTCCAGCCTGCAAGACCATTGACACCTTCAAGACGGGCTGAAGCGCCGGCCTGTATGAGGCCAGCAGTGAGAGTGCCGAGTGATAGACCTGTATAGAAGATGCCGCCACGTCGGGCGATCTCATGACCTCTGTACCATGAGCCTGGAAACGATCAGAAGTATATCACGGCAACAGCTGGCATGTGGCTTACCGAAGACATAATGCATCGCCGGGAAGAATGCCGCCTATCTCTTGTCAACGCTGTAACGTAGCATCGAGAAGAGCATCATACCTCGAACCAACCAACCAAGAACCGATAAGCAGCAAGCTCCGCGAAGGACTGTGTTCGGTATTGCAGCAGCGTTATGATACCCCAAGCAATGTCGAGGAACGGAATGGTCCAGTACATGGGAATGTAAGTGAACAGGAACATGAAAGGGATCTGGCCAACAACGGCGCCGACGACGTAGAAGGTCTGCAGCTGGACAAGCTGGTTGCCCTTGAAGCCGAGGTCTTCCTTGAGTCCGGCAACGTAAGCATTGTTGAGGTTGGATTGATCCTGCCCGGAAGCTGTTAGCACGTTCGGCGGATGAACGACGGCGGTCCACGAATTTCATCGCGAATAGTGCGCCTTGGGTGGGAGAGGAGCGTGAGTGAACATACAATGTACTTGACCCAGTATGCCAGCACAGCATAAGGTACGATGATGAGGTCGAGCTTCACGATCAAACGTCGCTCCTCAGGTGTGTCGTCGTCGGAGTACCACTGAAGCTTCCACCACTTGCGCCTTGGGACAGTTGCCATCGCTGCGACAAACTGGTTGCGATCGAGAACCAATCACAAAGATCCTGAGAAGTCTGCAAGCGTCCCTGGAAACAACTTCCAGAGCATTCATATACCATCCCAGTCACCGAAATTTCTGCAGAAGCGACTCGGAAGATCTCGTGGCAGAACATTGCGCCTTCGTGGGCATGGAATTGGCCATCTTGTTACCTTGCCGGAAGGAGTAGAGCCTCATGCAAGACACACGAGCTTTGCCGCATAGCAGGGCTTGTGTCCATACGCCCAATCCATCCAGATGCGAGAGTATAGGCCATGATTGCCTCGTGGCGCCCAAAACCTCCATATGGTGCAAGCACCTTGCGGAATGGCGTGACGGATCTTGGCATTCGCGCAATGGGAGGCGATGCGAGATCTCCGTGTTCTAAGATAACGACTAAGGGTCGAATCATGGCGTCGCAACATCGAGAAGTTTTGTAGTGAGATATTGTCGAGTCTTAAGCGACCTTCGCCGCTTGCTGTGTTGGAACGAAACGTGGAGGTGTGCCAAGCCCAGTACAAAAGGATGTAGAGAATGAAGTTGTCAGTCAAGAGCATTAATGAAGCAAGCGCAGAGCTTTAGTCATCGCTCGGACGATGTCCGCTGATGCCACGTGTACGTAAAGACCTGCGTCGAATAGGCCTAGACTGCCGAAGACCTCGCCGCCTTCGCTTCGTGTTGGCAGTATGGCACATGTGCTTGTTGTACTCGCGCAATCGGGACTTTGACCGAAAAGCCGGCATTCATACGGCATTGGCGGGTCATCGAACGTTCCTGATTCCTGTCGCTACCCTCTCTTCAGGCTCCTGCGACCATTCCAGATGCTCCGCCCGAAAGCCTGGCTTGGTCTAGAACTGGGCCCAAATGATATATGCCTGTATTTTTGAAACTCCGTACACTAGGCGGTCGGACACGCGCGATGCGCATGACAACGGATTGAAGAAAGCTGTCGGGCTTGGATGACGACGCGGATGGATTGGACGAGGGCGAGTAGACAGCTTCGAGGAGACTGAGGGCGTTCTTCGCAAAGGCAGCCTGGACTGCCGCAGGCAGCGCTTGCGCACATGTCCTTCAACAAGGCGACGCATATGGCCCAGGATCGTCCCTCAAGAGTGCACTGCACTAGGGCGAGCGAGAAGTGCGAAGGCATCAGACTGGTACATTCTTCATAGCAGCTGCTGTCACTCGTGGCTTACCTTCTATGGTCTTGCGGCGGGACGCCAACGTCTGCAACTCTTTCATTCAGTCCTTGAGACGTACCGACGCCAGGCTGTGCCCCGGACCATTGCACCGCGGCAGGCGTGTCCAGATGTCGCGCCGGTATCGCTTCTTGATCAGCACGATGCCGTGTGTCACCTTTCACGCGTGCTCCGGCGTGAAAAGGCACCAAGCACGCGGTTCGAGCAGATAGGATCAGCCATCTTGCATATTTGGACCTTGGGCGTGCGAAGTAGCATGCGCCGTCATCGTAGGCGCGCGACTTGCCAGAACGAGCTACAAGCTACAATGTCGCAGTGAGACTGCGCTTGCGATTTCGACGTCGGAGAATCACTTTGACACGATTACGTCATGGCACGACCAGCTTTCCGTCGGCGACCTGAGGCCTCTCACCGATCTTCACGCGTTTCAAGGCTGGGCCCATCTGGTTGTGACGGTGTCGGTACTACGGTCAACGAAATGTTGATGAGATAGATATCCAGCAACAGCGCCGCAAGCAGCCAGAATGGGGTTGATGTCCGCGGCCCCCGCGTGTCCTTTATCGACCCCCATCTATCTCCTGGCGGAGATAGAGCCCTTCAACGACATGAATCTGCCCACGACGTGGCAGAGTACGCATTTCTCGGAGCACGCTGGTCGGCACAAGTGTCGAGCTCCGACACGCGGTCCTCATGACGTAGCGGGCGCTCATTCAATCACGGTAGGTGCAGCGACCATGTCAGGGACAACGACACCAGCCACCACTCTATAAATTCGAGACAGTCACTCTGAGCTATGGACCGGAATGCGGCAAAGAAGAGTTCGGCCTGCACCAGAGCGGCAGAGACGATCAGCTAGCCTTGGTTTAGAGAGCTGCCGCTTTTCTCAGTGATCAACTCTTCTGCAGACTACTAACACGACTGCCAATATGAAACGCTGGGCACTCCTTCTCGCTGGACTATCAGTGACCGTCGCTGGCCTGCCTCAGACGCACGAGGTACTGAATTGGGCACCGTGTCAAGAAGTCAACAAGCAGATAGCAGATCTCGTTGCACCTTTTCCAATCACACCCTTCGACTGTGCAAATCTGATGGTACCCTTGGACTACGATGAGCCTTGCACTTCGGAAAAGATTCAGCTCGATCTCTTCCGAGTCAATGCTACTCAAAAACCAGTCCTTGGTAGCGTCCTCTTCAACCCAGGCGGGCCCGGTGGCACAGCGGCGGAAATGTTGCCTCTCGTCGCCGAGTCAGGCCTTCATCTCAACATTGGAGGCCAGTTTAACCTCATTTCGTGGGATCCTCGTGGCACAGGCAATACCATTCCGTTCAATTGCAGCACAGGCGAAAGCGCTGCAACGGGAAACCCCGTACGACGCGGCGACTACCGCACCCTTCCGAGCAGCAATGTTACCCAAAATTTCATCGACGTTGGTTGGGACATTGCTCGACAGAAGGCCGAAGACTGTTATGCCACAAACAATGGGACTGGGGAGTTCATTGGCACTGGCTCAGTGGCGCATGACATGATCTCAATCATAGACTCCCTCGGAGAAGATGGTCTTTTGCGATACTACGGGTGGTCGTATGGCTCAGCACTTGGCTTCTACTTCGCAGCTATGTTTCCCGAACGTGTCGATCGCATGCTCTTGGACGGAAATGTCAACCCTCATACATGGCAGCTTGGATATCGCCCCGAGCTGTTCGAAGCGGTCGACAAAGCATTCGCAGCGTTTATCGACGAGTGCTGGAAGAACGGCAAGGACTGTGCACTTGTCACAGAGTTGAATACAACTTCGAAGGCAGAGATCTGGAATACAATGGACGCCTTGATCTATGCTGCGGCCAAGAACACGACCACAGCTGCTGGGTTCGAAGCATACATTGCCATACTCGGACTCATCGAACAGAGACTGTACTATCCGAAGCAATGGCCGAAGCTTGCTCAGATCTTCGCAGATATGTTGACGGGCAAAATCGAAGCGAGTCCCGCGAACTCGTCAGCCCCCGCGCCCCAGCCATACAACCACGGCGTGGACGCAATCGATGGAATTCGGTGCAGCGACGCAACCTTTCAGACCGCGGAACTAGAAGAGTACTTTCCTATCCTCGCTCAACAGCTGAATCACAGCCGGGGGTTTGGCGCATTCTACAATGCAGTCTGGCCGTGCGCATCCTGGAAGATGCCCGATAAGCAACAATACCGCGGCGACTTCAAGGTGAAGACGCGTCATCCAATTCTCATGGTCAATGGCGAGTTTGACCCAACGACGCCGATTAGCGGTGCTTACAATGCCAGCTCGGCCTTCGATGGCAGCGTCGTTCTTGCACACAATGGGTACGGACACGGCATCTTTCCCAGTCCGAGCAAATGCGTTGCAGAGAAGATTCAGCAGTATTTCGTTCATGGAAGCCTTCCTGAGGCAGGCATTGCTTGCGAGCCTGATTTTGGCCCGTGGGAATTGGCTGAATACTACGCAGCTAACAACATCTCGAGACCGTTTTAGCGCCAGAGGATTGGACTGGTGAATGAAATAATGCGGCTCGATGTGTCGCAGAAGAAGTCATTGGTGATTACCATTGTCCATAGCCAAGGCAGGGCCGGCAGTAATGTAAGCATAGCCGATCTACAATGAAGTGCTTCCGGGGCTTTGCATCCGGGAACTCGACTGGAGGCTTCCGACGATCCGTGTCGGCTCTCTCTGACCAGATTGGAATGGACGCCAGACCCGAGACCAGGCAGTGCGCTACAAATATACACGATTGAGGCAACGATGCACACACTGGCAGCTCTCATGCAAGATCCAATGCAGATCTATGGTGGCTGTCCCCTAGCAAGGACGGCCGACACACCGGATGCAGCATTATTCCTAGCGGCGCGCGACTTGCCTTGCTGGGACTAGCACCTTTCTCCAACGACTCTTTGGCGCGCTACAACTTTTGTCACAGCCCATCCTCGTCACCAGTGTGACTTTGCTCGAATATCAAGACTGTCTGTCTTGGTCACCATGACCACTCATGGCACCTCTCAACGTTCCACGAGCCGTCAGAATGGCTCGCTTCCGGCGATCGAAAGGATGCGAAGGCTGCCGCGCTAGGCGCCGAAGGGTAAGTCGTCCCCTTACGCTCCGATCGGAGAAAACCTATGTATAACGGATGCCGACTAAGATACACTGCCTAACTTGTTCAGTGCGATGAAGCCAGTCCTAGCTGCGGACTCTGCTTCAAGCGCGGCATCCACTGCGTCTACGGCGACCAGCTGAATGTCGTGTTCGTACGCTGCGGTCCCAAACCTATGCCGCCAAGGGATGCATCCAGAGATAGGCATCAAACCAAGAGCAATGAGTCCGGAGCGTCTCTTCCGTCGGTCGAAAATGTGCCGCAGGCTTGCCTCGCAACGGCATACCGTCTTCAGACCCACGGCAATTTCCTTGGCGTCTATCTGCCGCAGACTTCTGCCACGGCAACCTCGGCGACGTGCACTACGGCTTGGCTACATAGTGCATACGAGCTTTCCAGCACAGACCAACTTCTCTCCGACGCCTTGAGTGCACTTTCTATTCAGTGCCTTGCACATGACGGCGATCTGGGTGCGGAATCGCAGAGTCAACTGCTTTGTGGGCGGGTCATTCGCAACCTGCCCAAGAGGCTGGACGCCAGATCACAAGCTCTTGGAGATACTACTCTGGCATGTGTGATGGTGTTGAATCTGCTTTGGGTACGTGACTCTCGAGTCTCAAGGGTTGCGCAGTCACTGACGACATCGAAGTCACACCGGGCCAATCGCGAAGGTGCATCAGGATGGCTGTTCCATGCACACGGCATTTCTGCACTGATCCATGCTAGGGGCGCAAGAAACCACTCTTCGGACTTCGGGCGAGAGCTTGTCTCCGGCTCCAGATTGATAAGCGTTGGTTCAAATAGCGTCTTTGGTTCTTCATCACAGCTGACCGTTCTCTAGCTGGTCGGCACGATTGGCAAGCGCAAAGCGGATTGGTCTCAACTTCCCGGTGGCACGATTGCGCCAGGAGATTCACGGGCTGACTTTCTACTGCTCTTTGACATTCTGCAAGGTCTCCCGTCAACTCTCGAACAACTCGACACTGTCTCACGATTGGCCTCCGAGGGCAACTTGAAAGACGCCGAAGCCATTGCACGCGCCTTAATCGAGACTTGCCATGTGCTTACGGCGCAGCTGAAAGACTGGCGGGATGGTCTTGACACGCACTGTTCCGATCTCGGCGTCACGCAACTGGTTTCGGAAGAGCCTTCGGAGTTATACCAGTCTCTACCCATTGATAGCCCTTTGCGAATCTTTCCGACGTACTTCTGCTATCCAAACATCGATCTCGCGCAACAAGTCTTGCTTTACATGGTCGGTAACGTCTTCCTTTGGACAGTCAGAGCAGGTATGGAAGATGCACTCGATAGCATGCAGCCACAGCGCCAGACGGACGTCACTCCTCCGCTGAGGCCGGGAGAAATCTTCGGCGCGGAGCGTGCGTGCCGTATGGCTCTTCAGGTCGCACAGTCTCTTGAATATTTTGTCCGACCCGGCATGGGCCTGGCTGCGATTGATATCTTTGGGTTTCCAATCACTTTCATCTATAACTGGCTGACGGACCGAAATGTGCCCGAGAGAATGTGGTTTGAAGTCATTTTCGGCCACCTGCGCACCATCAATTCGGGCTACGCTGCATTTCTCGAGACCGCAACGAAGCTCCATGGAGAATGCGACATCTTCGACCTCCTTCGATGACAAGCCGATGAACGATCTCTATCGTATGAGACATGTCTAGTGTGCAATGGTGCCTTGAAAGATCCGCTATACATGTTCTTGCACAGTAAGCGGGGACTTCTCAATTCTGCAGGAATGCTGCGAATGGAGAAGTCGTTGCGTTGCGGTCCGAAGCCATTTATCTCGTTCCTTTCAGGCGTCCCAGCGTGCCTGAAGCTCGGCGCAGATTTATTGCGAGAATGCCCATCTTCAACGCCATAGACACCACTCCATACCCGCCATGTCAGCCGTTCGAAGCCTTCGGACGACGTCAATCCACAGCGCGGCCCTATTGCGACCAATACTTCGGCATAACACATTGGTGTCTGGGGCAAGGGCAAAGCACACCCATACGCACACCGGTAGCTGCCACTGCGGTAACATCACTACTACTCTTTCGACTTCCAAGACAGCCGCAGAGCTGGGTTCTCGTGCATGCCAATGCACATGGTGTCTCAAACAGGGTCGTCCGTCTCATACTTCGGATCCGCAGGGTACTACCACCATATCCGCGAAAGATCCAGCCCACGTCTATGGCTACAAGATGGGTTACGGTACAGCGGAGTTCCTGGGCTGCACTAAGTGCCACGTGTTCCGGCCATCGTCTGGAAGAAGGCGGAGGACGGAAAGCTATACAGCGTTGTCAGAGTTCAGACACTGGACAACGCGGTAGCCTTGATGGAGCATGAAAGGGTGCATCAGGTCAACGATGAATCTTTGGAGGATCGTTTGGCGAGACGAGGAAGGAACTGGACGCCTACAGAATTGAAAGGCGGACTAAAGGTCGACCTCTAGGGAGATGAACAATAATTTCACATCGAGGCTAGAGCCCGAAGATTGCGAGAGTCTTCAGGCCTAACGCAAAACTATCTGGCGTAAGATTTTCGGGGACCCTTCTCCAGCTCCGAGGTATTCCCGGCCGCTCGCGACTTGGCTCGCTCTTGGATTCTCTCCAAAACCACGGATAGCGCATGACCCCGTGCTCATTGTGGTTCTCAGTCGTTCCAAAGCCTTGCAACTTCCGCAACTGCGTCGTGACGATAAATCCACTCGGTCAACAGCGGGTCGGACCACTGATTAGAGCTTTCGACGTATTCCGTACTCTCGATCTCGTCCCTCATGGCCTCGTCACGCGCTCTCTGCACGGCACCATCCGGGAGATGCAGGATAAGGCCATTGGCGAAGCTCGCCTCGTGCACAGCTTGAACTCGAGGTCTGCGCGCTTTCTCCCACAGTTTCAAGGCGTGTGGGATGTCTTCTGGAGAGGAGATGTGATCCAGCGTCTCTGCAATCGCTGCAGCATCCTCCACAGCCATGGCTGCGCCTAAAGCCATGTAAGGTACCATAGCGTGCGCAGCATCGCCCAGAATCACCAGCTTGCCGGTCTTCGATATCCACGTTCCTGGAATATCAATCGCGTTGATTGGCCAATCGACGGTGGACTTGATCATTCCGAGGAGTTTCATGAGGCTTGGAGGCAAAGTCAGTGATTAGAAGACTGCGAGAAGCGCAACACGCGCTTTGGTTGCTGACGACGAGACTCACCTCGGATCCCAGCCTTGGTAGTACGACTTCATCGTGTTCAAGACTTCCGACATTGGCACTGCGGACTCCTCCACGGCTCCCACATCCCTGGCTGGATGGGTGATGACCATATTGTACTGCTGTCCACCAGTGATGGCATAACTCATGATGTGCCGATTGTTTCCGACCCTAGCCACAAAGTGCATGTCAATTCAGGTGTCTCGCAGGAGTATTGCTCAAACAGAACTGACCAGAGATTCAGACTTGACCTTTCCATGATCCACGCCAAATCAGGATCGGCTTTGATCTCGTCAACAGGTATGGTTGCTCGGTATGCGCTCAGTCCGTGCCCAACAGGGCCGCGATCTGCTGAGCCGTTCAATCGTCTGCGGGCTTGCGATTTTAGGCCTCGAAGCGAGAGCATGTCAGTCAAGTACCTTCGGAAACGCGCTTTCACACTTACCATCAGCGGCAATCGTCAAGTCCGGACGGATGGTCAGGCCATCTTCGAAGTCAACACCTCCGCCTTCGGCTTCCTCGACCTTCAGCACCCTCTTGTTCAAGTATATGTCGACACCGAGCTCAACGGCTCTGGCATGCAAGACCTGATGCAAATGTGCACGATGGGTAACATAGTACGGCGATCCATATTCCTGTTGGCTTCGGGGATTGAGTCTGGCTTTGCCAATCACGGATCCGTCCTGCCATCGACGCCACAAGAGAGCGGCAGGAACTCCGGAAAACTGCTTCAGTGCTGTCTCAAGTCCCCATGAGTGTAAAATTCGCGTTGAGTTCGGTGGTATCTGGATGCCGGCTCCAATCTGGGAATGTCAGCTCTGTCGGATCGCGGTAGTGTGAGACGAAACCGCTTCTTTGCGAGAGGCAATCCCTTACCTCCGCTAAGGCCGCCGCTTGCTCATAGACGGAAACTCGATGTCCACGTAGTCTCAGTGCAATCGAGGCGGAAAGGCCTCCGACTCCAGCACCGATGATTGCAATATGCAAACTGCACGGAGACTTTGTGCGCTTCGTCTGCCTGTCGTTGCTGGCTTTTGTTTGTGCAGCAGAGGACACATCGGTCGAGATGTGAAGCTCTTTCTCGTTTCGCAGACGTCGAATGAAGTTGTACGATGCCGAAGGATATTGGGGAATCTGGTGGCTGGCGTATTAGTTCACAACTGATCATACCACAGATCCGATGGGCACGCGAAGGTTTGATCCGCCGATGCCTTCCGGACTGCGCGAACGCCTCGAGATAAGTAGGGATTGGGGGTTACCGGACCACGATATCTGCTAGCTCGACATTCATGGTCTCACAAGTGAGCCTGTTCAGGTCTGGATGGGATCACTGAGGTCGAGTACTCTGCAGCCGCAATGTATCGAACAAACAAGGACGAAGCCTATGAGTTATATCACCCTCGGCGACGCAAACCATGGGAGGGTGCGCTTATGTGATTTGGAAGGCAGCAAATGCGAACATCGTCTGCAGCGGAAGTGACCGTGCCATGGTGGCCTTACAAGCCGACCCGGACTGCCGCATCTGTGCGCGGAGACCGCCTTTAAACATGATGCCTTTTCCATTGCAGGAGTAGTTTCGAGGTCGAGTTGCTGTTGCCGCCATCAGGGAATACCAACAGCTTCGAAGTGGGAAGTGACTCTCTCCCGCCAGTCGTGCCAAGCCGGCGTCTGCGAATTCGGGACGCGGAAAACTGGAACGCGCTTGCTGAGGTGACCTTGCCGCGGCGTGTGGGAACACCAATGTTCCCGACGTTGCTCATCAGCCTAATCATAAGATCAACATCAGCGAAGGTGATGCATTTGAGACGTCGAATGTGTGGGATCGTCAGACGCAGCACCGGCTGCCACGATCTTCCTGTTCCGGCGGAGCAGACCTAATGTGTTCCAAACACGCGCGAGAAAGCTTCTCGGAGATCCGCTTGGACACAAAGCTGCCGGAATGAAGTCGAGTATTGCAGAGCAGCGTTCGTTACTCGTTACGATAGTGCTACTTACCGCACCACCTGCTGATTGCATATTTTCTTCTCCTTCTCAGTATCGCGCCGAGCATGTAAGGTAGGAGAAGGCTTGCCCGACGCCTATACCTTTTGCTCATTTCACCCGCTCATGATTTCAAGTCACCTTATGACAAGCTTTCTGGATCTTTACTGCAGCCCACTCTGCGACCCCATACAGTAGACTCATGCTATGCCCTGCCACCTGCAAAGGCACCACACTCAAGTCCACCACCCTGACATTGTTCGTACCATATACTCGAAACTCGTTATCCACCACTCCGCCCATCTCCCTGGGCAACATCGCGCACGTCCCTAGGTGGTGGTAATTAGGCTGATACATTGAACTCTTCAACCACTTCAACCACACATCGTCGCTTGCGTCTTCTGGGACAAGTTCGTAGCCAGGGTTCAAACTGGTAATGTTGACTATGTCGACAAAGGGCGGCGTGGTGAGAAGCCGTCGCACGAATTTCGCGGTCGCGATCGCCAGATCGATATCGAAGTCGATCTCAAAGAATCTGGGATCGATTCTCGGTTGGGCTGTTCGCTCAGTGCTGTTGATGTGTACACTGCCGCGACTGAAGGGTTGTAGAGGCCAGAAGACAGCGCCGACGAGTTCTCCCAAGATAATCGGGGCGATTTCGGACGCGACGGTGTTGGTTTCCAGAAGGAGATCAAGCTGCGTGCGAAGAAGGCGCTGCTGGGTGCTGGCATCGGAGGCTCCGTTGTTCGAGGCTGCGATGGCGGCTGCATACGACGGGAGCTTCGAGAGAGTGGAGTTGTATACAGAGAAGGCTTGGGCTCCAAATAAATCGTGGAAGGACGTGTGAGCGACAAAGGGAGGCAACCCGGAGGGATACGCTTGCGCAGCGTTGGCGGTCATCGCGAGAACGGTTTGATCTTGCAGATTTTCACCGACCGACGACAGGTTCACCTTGACTTCGACGGACTGTTGAGACAGGATGGACGGATTGCCGACACCGGAATGCTCGAGAATGGCAGGGCTGCGAAGTGCACCTGCTGACAGGATAATTTCACGTTTTGCGCGAATTGTGGCGACTTTGCCAGTCTGACTACTTACCTCAGCTGCCAGAGCGACTGCCTCTTCACCGGGGCTTGTGTCTTCCGCCCACAGTATGCGAGTGGCTGTTGTGTTAGGAATTATAATCAAGTTTGGCCGGTCCATGACGGGATAGTAGTAAGCTCGGGCTGCATCCTCTCTGATATCTGCGATCCCGTCTTGGGTCGTCTGCTGGATGCCGAACCCTCTGAGATCGCCACCGTTGAACTCATGCCTCGAAGGAATGCCCAACTTTTGAAAGGTCGCATTCAATACATTATGTACCTCACCACCTAAGATGTGAGGGCTAATGCATGTCGCAAGAGGTCCGCCGTAGCCATGATCTGAAGATTCGTAAGAGGCTCCCAGTGCGGTGAGGGCTGCTGACGGGGGCTGAAAATGCTCTCCTTTCTTAGAACAGTCAAAAAGCTTCTTCCAATCCATTTCAAGGCCAAGAGACAGCCAAAGATCCATTTGAGAACTAGCTGGGCGAATATATGTCATGCCTAACGTTGAAATCAGCATCTTGCCGCCTTGACTGACACGACAACCTACCATTGATGAGAGTTGAACCACCTACCCCTTTCCCAGCACTCCATATGATGGTCTCATTGTTTCCAAAAGCTTGGGGGACCGTGTCATATTGCCAATCGATGCGCGTGTTTTTGCCTAGCCCAATCGTAGTGGCGTTCGTCACATTCGGATTGTTTCGTTCGAAATCACCAGCTTCGATGACTGCAACAGAAAGCCCGGGGTCTTCAGAGAGTCTCGATGCTACGACAAGGCCTGCTGTTCCTCCGCCTAGGACAATGTAGTCGAATTCGTTGTTGTGGATGTCCTTGAGTTGGTCAGTGCCAGGCAGTCGGGCCAAGGCAAGTGGCGATAAGAGCGCAGTCGAAACGACCCAGCTACAGGCGAGAAGCAGCATTATTGTAGAGCTCCTGAGATGTATTTGACAGACTCCAAGTAGCGAAAAGCTCCATTGTGCAATATCGTAGGCTTCTTTAAGGCGCCGCGCGGGGTACAAATGATCTGCTCAGGACATGCTTGAGATCTGCCTTCGCTGCATGTACGAGACGACTCCCGACTAGCCTCGGTAGCCCGCACTGTTCTCCAGCTTTCACTCAGGTTGCATAGAGCGACAGTAGCTCGAACCCACCAGAGTATCTTGGGCGTAACACTTGGCAAGTCAAGGCCACCAGTGTTGTACGTGTGCCAAGGCAAGAGGAATTCGGCGCCGGCTACCCTCGAATTTAACCTTCAGGCACGGCTCCTCTGATCGAATCGAATCTTTGAAAACACAGATTGTCTACTTCGGCGTAAGCACTGCTCATTGCACTACCGGCTGATCGCGTATTTGCTTCTCTTCCTCAATTTCGCCCCAAAGAAGTACAGCAGATATGGGATAGGAACGATGATTGCACTGATCCCGCCCAGAATCGACAAGGTTACGTGTGTCCCGAGGTTCTTGTACATCGGAACGCCGACAACAGTCCTAATACCGTTAGTTCTGATGTCACAGATCGTGTCTGAACTGCAACTTACATGCCGCCTGCTGCAAGGTAGCGAATCAAAGCCACAAAAGTCAAAGCCGATGCTGCAACAGCCTCGTAGCTGTCGATGATGTACATGTAAGCCGACAGGAAAATACAGATGATCCCCAAGCCAATGACACCGGATGCGACGAGAGGTGACCAGATCGATATCGAAGCCTGCATTATGTCAGTACTGTTGAACCTTGCAGCCGTGTTGACGTACATAATCAGTCCAGCCCATCCAGAAGAGTCCAATTGGAATGAGTGGTGCACCAATCATCGAGAAGATGGTACGAGTCTCCTGATTGATGGCGGATCCCGACCCGTCATCATCGTCTCGCTGAAGTTGCTTGTTGGTGATGTGTACAACAAAAGGAACAAGCGCGAAGCCGGAGATGATGCCGATGAGCAGTCCAATGAAGCAGATGTTGCTGAGTCCTTGAGAAATGCCGTATGTCCGCTCGAAGATGTACGGGTAGCCATCCAGGAAAGTAAAGAGGATGATGTAGACGATGGTGAGATACAGCGTGTATGCGAGGACGATAGGCTCCAGGGCGAGGATGAACGGACGTGTGAAGTTCTTCTTCAATACTCCACCGAGCGAATGTCCAGCCACTTCGCTCTGAGATAGAAAGCGGTCGTCGCCAGTAAGCTGCCGGAACATGCGGGCTTTGTACTGTAACAGACGTGGAGCCATGGTTTCACGCTTAAAGGCCAGGACCAAGAAGATGACAATACCGGTGGCGATGAGCATGATCCAATCTGACCAGCGCCACGAAAGATGAGGCGATGTACCGATATAGCTGGCGATGACGGGGCCAAGGACAGGTCCTCCGAAGCCGACGACTGCGAATAACGGGAACGCCCATGTCCTCTCCTTGACGCTCCAGAGATCAGACATGCTTCCGCCGGCGACAGTGAGAGGAGCCGACGCGAAGAACCCGGCCAAACCTCGAAAGACTATCTGGGAGGCAATATTCGGGCTGAGAGCAGCACCAACCAGCCAGCAGGCGAAGACGGTGAGAGAGGCCACGTATACTGGCCATCGCCCTAGCATTTCAGAGGCTGGCGCCGTGAATAATGCTCCAATGCCAAATGTGGCAAGAAAGACGCCCGTTCCGCCAAGTGCTTCGACAACCTCGGACACGCCCAGGGCTTCGGCAGCCTGGGGAGCGGTAGCGGAATCAATACTGCTGGCGGCGGTGACCACGAATGCGATGGCATCCAGAAGGAATGTGTTTCCTAGACGATGTGCCGTCGACCAGCTTCGCGGATTGTATGGATCATCTTCCTCAAAGTCAACCAGGTAGTACTTCTCGCCATTCTCTTTCTCCTCGACGCTTATGCCGTCCAGTTTGGCATATCGAAAGTCCTCCGCTTTGGCTCGTTCGGTGCCGCGGAGGGTTTGGTCGCTTGACTGCCTCGACTGCCGATGCGGTGGGTTGGCTGTCTTCTCATGGCCGTCGAGCTCGGCTAGTTGTTGTTGAACGCGTTGCTTGAAACGGCGGTATTGCAGCAGGAAGGCCATATTGGCGAGCGTGAGGTTGGCAGGTAGAATCCATCGCGGCTTCAGCGGAGCGCTGCAGTATATGGAGATCAATATTTGCGATGCGCGCCATGCCGCAAAGGTCACCCCGATTGTGTGTACGTTGCGTCATGGTGCCGACGAATCCGCGACTGGAGTGCAAAAGACGGCGTCTTCGGCTCAGCTTTGTGAACTTACAATCGCCGCCGACGCGATGAGTGCTTGCGATGTCGATGGTCGTAGGCGAAAGGAGGAACGCGGCACGTCATGACTTCGGAGAGTTTGGTCGCGGCGGATAAGGCTTGAGAGACATAAGCTTTTTTCAGATCGACGCAGGATTCAATCCACAACAAAGCGTTCGCAACCACAACTTCTGCCTTCGGAAGCGGGAGCTCTCACGTTCCTTGCTAGAGCTAGGCTGTCCGACCGACTCACCGTGCATGGCCCTACGGCAATTTGGTGGGAGCCGTGTGATACAGGGAGAATGGATAAGGAGGAAAGGACGCGATGGACGATGTAGAAGGGTGGACGCCAAGCTACAAGGTTGCGAGCAAGCATGGAGACTTCGAATTTTGACATGTACGCCCGCTTCGCTTTACACGACAACGAATCGGTCTCTCGCAGTCGTGGGTGGTCATACATTCATCCACAATGGCCTCAGTAGCACCAAGCCAGACCGAGACGTCCTCGAGATCGTCTTACTCTGGACAGAGCATCGTGCTTCAGACCATTGGCGACCATGATAGAAGCAACGTCGTCGATGGGCCGGCACCGGCAAATGCTGTGGAGGCGATACCGGACGGAGGCTATGGCTGGGCTGTTGTTGCCTCGTGTGCAACGCTACTTTTCTGGATCAACGGCTGAACCACCGGCATGAGGCGTTCTACAGACTGCGTTGCTCTTGCAGAATCCGGATCTTCACACAGATATTCGCACCATTGCCTTCGTGGGCAGCCTCTCGATGGCTTGTCTTGTCGCATTCGGTATTGTATCAGTCCGCCTGATGCGCGCCTATGGCACTCGAACGACTTGCGCTGCCTCTGTCGTGCTCTACGGTCTGGGCCCGATAGTGACGAGCTTCACCCTGGATAACATAGGCGGCCTCTTTGCCACTGCGGGAGCTCTGATCGGTCTCTCGTCATCGCTTGTGTTCGCAGCTGCGAACAGCATGCCTCTGCAGTAGTTCACGCGCAAGCTCGGCACAGCAAATGGCGTCATCAAAGAAGGTGGCGGCCTCGGAGCGACTGTCCTGCCATTGGCGGCGCAAGCTATGGTCGATAAATTCGGCATACCTTGGACGTTCCGAGTCTTTGGTCTGCTCATCATCGCCACCGGGCTACCTACTGCGTTGCTGTTGGAATAGCACACGATTCCGGGACAGACGTCGCGCTTTGACTGGTCTCTCTTGAAGAATGCCCCATTCCTAGCTTTGGCAATGGCAGGCGTAATTGGGGTGTTCGCTCTGTTCGTGCCGCCGTTCTTCCTTCCGCTCTTCGCCAATTCCATCGGACCATCGGGCTCGACAGGCGCAGCATTGGTGGCTGGCTTCTGAGGCGCTACGGCTGCAGGGCGGCTTGCGAGCGGGTGGACGTGCGATCGGATTGGCGCTTTCAATACACTCGCTGTATCGGCTTTCGTCAACAGCCTCACGATGCTGGTGATCTGGCCGGTTAGCTCGTCACTCGCACCTCTGCTCATCTTCGCTATCGTCAACGGTGTTGCCAATGGGAGCTTCTTCGTAGCGCTTCCGACCGCCGTTGCTGCGTTGACACCTGGTTGTGCTGCCTCATCCATCAGCATGGCTGTCACTTTCTGGACGCCGGGATACCTCCTAGGATCACCTATTGCGGGAATGCTCATCCAGGCCACTGGTGCAGAAGAGTCGACTTCGATTGAGCCTACAGGGCTGCTATCTTTGCTGCCGCCGGCACAGGAATGGTGGCAACTTTCCTAATCATCGTTTCGCGAGCGAAGCAGGATTGTAAGCTGCTGAAGAGGTTGTGACGAAGGCGACGGAGATTACTTTGGAAGAGACGTGTTCGAGCCTGAACCGTGCCGCATCATGGTTAGTCTCACGGGCGGTGTGCTCAGAGTCGGCGCGAGGGTGAGAATCGTCAGAAAGGGCCTCAAGATATCGGCTACGCGGCATGTGATTCCGGTCGACTCAGTCGGGCGCAACCCTCAATTTTGTGGCGACCCGGACTGCCGGACTTCGAGATCGGCATCAGTGTGACGAAGAAAGTGCTGTACAGGAAGGGGCCTGGAGCCAGGCTCGATCGAGTGGGTGGGTTGCTGACCGTCACAGGCTGGGCTTCGCAGCGTGGGACTGATGAAGAAAGCGGCAACGTCGCAAACACGCCTTCAACTCGTAGATCTTGTACGAAACTATGATCGAGTTTGAAGTCACAGCAAACTGCAGTCCTTGATTGAGCGTGGCCAAATGGGAAACTGGATAACGCTCCGGAGGATCGGAGGCCAACATGTATATTTGCGCCCCAGAGCAGGAATCAGAAAGATTGTGCGACAACGAATGCGACTTCGGCAGTGCCTACTCGCACCTCGATCATCGCAGCAGGTGCGACTACGTACATAGCGTGCTTGCGCTCCTACGGATGCCACAAACGAGTTTCACAGCGAACTCGCCAGCAGTCAGAGCCTGAGACTTTGGAATCTTGCGAGGCTGACCTCAGGCTCCGGTCTTGGCGACTCGAGGCCTTGTGGCTGACGGTTGTGGCTTTCCCATGTGGCTTGCATTTTCCGCTCGACATGTGCCTGTCGTATTCGCGGCAGATTGTGTCCTCCTTCGCGTCAACGACACATGTCAACGACTTGCAGGTTGCTTAAGTGGTGAGCGATTCTATGTACAGCTCTTTTGGCAACGATCGCTGAAAATCATAATCGTCTCCCGCTCGCACGATCTCGGCGACTACGTTGCGAGCTCACATCGATAGAGCCATACAGATTTTGCGACGCGCGTACAAACCGCGGAGTCGATCGCGATAGTTGCTCCAACACCTCCGACGCCTCCGACGCGTCGCCACCAACGCCGCCGTTTCAGAGAGTCAGTATCTTGCCTAGTACTACTATCGAGCTGCTATTCTGTGCTCAATGAACCCCTTCCACTTACATGAACATCTTTAGGAACTCTTCCAAAGCTTTTCGTTGCATGTGTGACTTCAGCTTGGTCGACCCAGTTGCCGTGGACCTGCATTGCCAGCATGAATGGCAGCTTGATGACGGCCGTTGGTTTGCTGAAGCTCCGGGTGTCTAGGATGACCAATTCACTACTGCGAGTGGGCCTTCTTGTCACCATCGCCATGACCCATCCATCACCTTCTTCTGCCTTCTCAGAGCGAGGGACGAAGATGGGCTCAGCGACATGGCACTCTTCGCCTGGATCGAAGTACTCCACCTCTTCAGTCCTTGTATTTAAATGGGCGAGGCTGTTAAGATCCAAAGGGGTTATACCTCCTTTGGTTCCCGGACGGATGACCGGGAGGAAAATATGTTCATACTTGCGTGAGTTGAACCGTTCATCGATGCGAGGAAACTCCGCTGGCGCGTCCAGAATCACTTTCGGATTGGCGATCCTGGTGTTACTCGGCTTATTCAAGTCAATCTTCCACCGCACGACATCGGCTTTTGGTTCTCCCTGTGGCTGGCTCGGTTTCTTCTCGAACCACGGCAACATGTTGTACATGACGCGTACGGATTCGCAATAGAGTATGCCGTCAGTCTCTTCCCAAGCCGATGCAGAATGAAGCGTAATGGCATGGTCCCATTCGTAATATCCGAAGGCCTCATCACCCCAGCCCTGGGGGCGAGGAGTATCTTTTCTGCGAGGAACAACGATAAATGCGGCTCCACGATCAGGCTTCCATTCCCAGTGCTGGCTTCCCTCCTTCATTTCATCGATGGTAGTAGCTTCGAACGGCCACAAGAGAAGGATGATCCAGTTCTCTGTGATTGCGCAGTCATGGATGAAAGAGCACCATGGAGCTTCAATCCACTGCTCGTCCTTCTTTCTGCCCTCTTTGTCCAAGGCGTAGATGACGACGTCTTTCGTTGCCAGACCTTTTGCTTCGTAACCGAACACGACAAGCTCATTGGTGTATGGATCGACCTTCGGGTGAGCTGTAAATGTTTTTGCATTGACTTGACCCCCAAATGGATCGTATTGAAGAGTCTCGAGAGTATCTGGGTCGATGGCGTACGGAAGAGCCACTTCTTTCAGGGCCATAAGCTGGCCGGCCCAGTATACCATATTCGTATTCGCGGTAGAGTCGACTGCTGCGCGTACGCAAGGATGGTGCGTGAATGGATTTCGATAAAGTCCAAAGAGTCTTTGATTTGCCTTTCTCTCGAGAAGGTAACGCTCGGTCTCGATGTATTTGATCTTCAGTTCGGCGCGGCCGTCATGAACACGGAAGGCAGAAAGGTTCCCATCGCCTTCAACTGCTGGGTTTCCAGGGTAGAGTGGGTAGGCTGGATCGACCATGATGCGGTAGAATGTGCCGTTTATCTCTTTAGGGATTTCGCCAAAAACGACAAGATTGTGAATCTCTCCCTCAAATCGACCAACAGGCTCTACAAGAGCCTTGCCATCTGGCGTTGACCATTTCGACTGTAAGCCGTACAAAACATCCATGTTGAGTTTAGGCAGTGACAAGTTCTCTGTGGTGCAGCAAGAAAATTGGCTATTTTCTTCGACCGATATCTCGTGTAGTAGTAACAGGGACGCGGTGGTCTATGTAGTCGAGTACGCGACCGCGTCTTGAAAGCCGAGTGGGGCCAGATGATCTGTCCCGATGCAAACGTTGTGCCGACACCGCAGCGACGGCTCAACGCCGACTACGACCGCAGGCATTGTTGTATTTCACCGATTTCTGTTCAATGGTGAAAAGAACACTGAGTACGCAAGGCGCAGTATAACGGAATTTCCATACCCCTGGAACATTCCGAAACTCTGCAACCACGCTAACCCGACCCCAGACAGCCTATTTCTCTCCATTCCCCACGCGGAGGACACCAGCTGACTGGGGGATCTAGCCTCACGCTAAGTTTTCCACCTTCTCATCAGTGGTGGGAATACTCCTCTTACTCGGGTGGTCTCTCCATGCCGAGATGAGCCTGGGCCGGGCCCTGCGACCAGCTCTTGGGCTCAGGTATAAATGATGGGGCCCGCAGCTGCCATGGCAAAGTGGGCGTGGAACGCTCACAACTGTGCTTTATACTGCATCGCTACTTACACGACTTGACTTCGCACACTCCAACATGCCTCTTGGAATCCTCAGAGACGACAAGCTCGAGCATGTGCCAGGAACTGCTCCACTTTCCGATCAAAACAAGAACGACACCGAGTATGCTGGCGTTGATGCTTCATTACTGAAACATGACTCGACCGGCAAGATCGTCCTGGTTCCTCAACCATCGGACTCGATCAACGATCCCTACAACTGGCCAAAGATGAAGAAATTCTTATTCGTCGCCGCTTTTCTGTACGGCTGCGGGTGTGTGGGAGGTAAGATGCATCATCACGTTACCTCCTTGTCCTACCTTACTGACACTTCTCTCAAGCTATCGGGCCACTTCTCGGGGCAGGTTTTGTTCCTCTGTCGGCTGAGCTTGATGTCCCTCTTCCCAAATTTATCTCCGGTTTCCAGGGTGCCCTCATCTGTGCCATCGGCGTGGGTAGTCTCGTATGCAACACCCTCGCGGTCAAGTATGGCAAGAGACCTATCTATCTCATCACATCCCTGGGCCTTGCGGTCACCTGCTTTTGGGCTGCAGCGGCAAAATCGTTCCCATCTCTTGTTGCAGCAGGGTAGTCCAAGGGTTCTGCATGGCTCCGATGGAGTGTCTCATCCCAGCCAGTATTGCTGATGTTTGGTTTGTGCACGAACGCGGATTCATCACTGGCCTCTTCAACCTGGGCGTTCTTGGTGGCATCAACCTGGGCCCTCCCATCGCTGGTCCCGTCATCCAGTACGCTGGTTACAAGACTTGTCTATACGCAATGGGCGGTGCATTCGTTCTTCAGCTGATCCTGACATTCTTGTTCATGCCAGAGACCGCTTTTGTGAGATCCAGCACGTTGAACATTGACACAACTGCGCACACCGTAAGTCTCTTTCTTGCCATCTTTGTTTGCTCTGACGCGGGTGCAGATTGCGGTCAATGAGAAGACCGTCGAGGAGCATGTTGAGGGAAGCGAGGCTCATCACAACGCCTCTGCACGACCACTGGTCGACAAGAAAATCTCCTTTGCCAGAGAAATGCTGCCATACTCGGGCTACGTCAACCACGTCTCTTTGTGGAGGGTCGCGGTTGAACCGTTCAAGCTACTTGCTTCCCCAATCGTGCTATGGGCAGTGTTGTTGTTCACTACAATTCTTGCCTGGCTAGTCGGTATCTCAATCGCGTCGTCACAGATCTTTTCAGCGCCGCCTTACAGTTTCTCAATCGTCGAGGTGGGCGCAACGAACGTTTCTTCATTCGTTGCAGGGCTTTTGGGCAGTTTCATCTCAGGCCCAGCAATCGATGGGGTTTCCAAATTCATGGCCAGGAAAAACAAGGGTATTTTCGGTAAGACAAGTCGCCTAACATGTCAGGCAGGTACTAATAACGATAAGAACCCGAGTTTCGACTGCCCATTATGGTGGTATTTGTGCTCCTCACAGCTGGCGGCTTCTTTGGCTGGGGAGAGGCGGCATACCAACTGTCTCCCTGGCCCGTTCCCGTCGTCGTCTGCCTCGGACTCATCAACCTAGGTGCGCAGTTAGGCACGACCTGCCTGATTACCTACCTTGTCGACTGCCACCGTGAACAGGCAGGAGAGGCCTTGGGCGTGATCAACTTCTTCAAGAACTTCTTTGTCTTTGGCTTGACATTCTATTTCAACACTTGGATCGCAGATGATGGCGTACGAAATGTGTTCTTCACACTTGCGGGCATCACTATTGGTGTCACATTGCTCACGATTCCTATGTGAGTATACTATGTGCCGCGAACTTGCAATTCTACTGGCTGACAATACTTTCCTAGGTATATCTTCGGCAAAAAGTCTCGAAGCTGGGTGTACAGACATAATATTACTCTTACATCTGGCTAGACCGCGCTACAGCTACACTCCAGACGATAGATACATCATCGCTCTTTTGTGGCATAGAGATTGTGTTGGACTTTCGTCCAGGATCGTCCCAACCGAGGTCAGCTCTGCGCAGAGGCTCCTTGAGAGTAAGATTTTGAGAGCGAGGATTGCATGACTGGCACGGAGACGCATATGGTCAGGCGCTTGGATATAGACAAAATATAGAAACTACGTGTGATCGTGGTTCCATGTTGATCATAGCTTCGAGATCGAAGTATCGCGCCGTGAAATCCCCACAGTAGAAAGATACGAATATTAGGACAGACGTGTCCTGATGCAGTTCCGACCTTAGGCTGTATCGACCTGCGCGGCTTAGTCTGATGGAGCCTGATCACAATGGCCCAGCCACAACCCTGCCCGAGCTTGAAGCGCATTCTGTAAGGTATAGACGTGGGATGGTGTGACGAAAAGAGTGATCTTTAGGGAATGCTCCTTGGAGAGGATGTAGAAGCGCCGCGCACGACTTTGCCTTCTCTCAAAATCCCGTCGGCAATTCGGTCTGGGAACCATGCCTCGCGTTCAATCAGTTTGGTGAAGAATAGACCCGGGTCGTGTAAACTTTTGGAATGTGTCGCCTAGAGTATCCACGCATATCATCCAATCTATATGCAGCAGTCTCATCTTGTCACCGCTTGACGAAAGCCAGCTAAGCACTCAATCCTGCCTAGCACGCATCGCCGCGATTCGCAAGGATCGGCTCCCATCACATGTCTTTCAACGCCATGAAATCGGATCGAGTCTTGTCTTGTCGTGGTCGGCCATCTCGGAGTGAGAATGCCGCGAATGGGACCGACCCCGGAAATTCCGAACGGTCTGGGGAAGGGCGAAAGCATATTCCGTGCTACAACAAGCTAATCACGGTGCCTCGGTAGGGTGTTGAATACACGGTTGGCGACCACGTTAGATCGACTAACCTCAAAATGCGGATGTTTGAGCTTTACCAAGGCGCCAACTCGGTCTCATCTCACGGCAGAGACTTGCATACATGTCTATCATTGTCTACCACCTCAGAAAGGAATCTTGAAGTGTATTTTTCCAAAAGGTTACTGTCAGCTAATAATGCAACATGCGACCATCGTCGACCTCTGAGCGGGGAGTGGATTTCGGATCAGTGACCATGAAGTTTGCTTTTCGGGGACAGTACCGAATGGACAAATATGTGAGAGCTCTTTATTCAAGCTCTATACTCCATGTAAAAGACGCCCGACACATGTATTACATAGCCGATGTAGCACACACTATGTTCACACAAACCAAATATCTATTCTGATTCGACCTCAATCTTGCGCCTCGTGGTTTGTTGGCCGATTTTGGGAACTACAACACTCAAGATGCCATTCTTCAAGCTTGCCTTAATCGCGTCCTGGTTGACTCGTTGCGGGAAACTGAAGGAGCGTGAAAACTCGCCGACGCTGCGCTCGGATACCCAATAGGTCTGCTGCTGGCCTGCCTGCTTTGCCACTTCTTTAGAGCCCGTGGTCGCAACCTCTGTGCTCTGCTCGGTCGTCGCGTCAGATTGATCATCCTTCTGCTGCTCACCGAAAACGGGCGCTTCCTCCCGTGTATGCTCTGTGCGTCCATTGATCAACAGGGTATGATCGTCGGAAAATTCGATCACCAAGTTCTTATGTTCAATGCCAGGCAACTCGCCTTGCAGTTCGTACGCGTCTTTAGTCTCTTTTACATCGAACTTGGGTGAGAATGAGGTTGTTGCGACAGGTAAGCTGTCAGACAGACGCTGCAGCTCGCTAAAAGTGTCATTGAACAGTGAGAGGAATGGCGAAAATTCCTGATGATAAGTACGTACCGGTGGTCGGAAAACTGACATGCGGGGAAATAGAGCCATTTTGGCGATGATTACAGAGTTGTCGAAGTAGTCTTAAGTAGAGTCTGTCTTTGTATGTTGTGTCAAAGTTGTGTGCTGGATAGTGTCCGTGGTCCTTATATAGTTTTGAGGAGTAGTGTTGCTCAAAACATCGCCGACATACATCGAAACTTCGAGATATAGAAGCATTCCTGAGCCGACTACTTCTGAAAATTTGATTGGAGCATAGGCATTCTAATGACAAAAGTATTCACACCGGCCGATCACCTGACCTGAGCCGTTTTCGTCCTACGATCGCCGATTCGTCGGTTTCATAATCCAGAACATTCTGGTCATTTCATTCAATATCCAGCACAGAAGCGGTGGCTCCGCAGATGCCACTTTCGGCTTGCTCATGATAGTCTTGATGCTGTTTGCTGTCGATCTGCTTGTTGATGCTCCGTCTCTGTCTTCGACCATCACTCACTTATCCTCATCTTGATCACGGCGCTGTATTTTCACCATCTCGGGTCTCAGGAAGTCATCAAGCTGACGCTTCCACCCGATCTACCAGCCCACGGCACACTCATCGAGCGTCTGAGCCGTGAAGCGGCTCCTTGTATCTACTGATCGACATCAAAGCGTGTACTTGAATCCTTGCAGACCTTCAATGGCCTTTCCTCCATTGTCGACACGCTTGTTCGCCTTCCAGAACTTGAAGTCAAGCAGCAAGGTGATGACAATGATGAGGGCGGCAGCGGTCATCGTACAGTAGATGCCAGGGCGATAGTTGGGGGCATCCTGACTGCGGAACACCACGGAGCCGATGATGCCACCAATACCGCCAGACCCCACGAGTGTGGCCGAGCATAGGGCGCGCTTCCATTGTCCGCGGATGTTGTTCGCCTGCCAGGTCAACACGCATGGAACGTTCGCGTTGGCGGCTGTAGTTGCAAGGAAGACGCCGAAGTATCGCACGCCGACATTGCGCGAAAAGCCCAGGAGTGGCAGACCTGGGATGGGTCAGCTGATGTCGAGGACAGTTGTTGTTTCGACTTACCGATAAGAGCCAGCACGCCATTGACGAGGATGAAAGGTGAGCGGATATGCCACTTGTCGCCGTACCAAGCCATCCCGAACATGACGATTGCAGCAAGCACATACGGCGGAGCGACCAAACATTGCGATGCTGCGATACTGAAACCCATGCCGTTGCGCAGAATAATGGGCAGAAAGAACGCAATCGCATACGTGATGGTGGTTGTCAAGCCAAAGAGCGCGCCGAAGGCCCAGACTTTCAGATCCGCGCCATTCTTCATGTATTTACCGAACTCGAAAGGCTCTGCGTGGGCGTCCTTGCGGTCTCTGTCAATGCGGGCCACAACAAAGTCGGATTCTTCCTTGGTGAGGAACTTCATCCCCAGCCAGGACTTGGATGCGTATTCGCTGCAACTGTAAGCAAAGGCGCTGTCTTGTGACGAGCATACTCACGGGAAGTCAACGATAGTCACGAATCCGATCAGAGCCACGACACATGTAAGAACGCCCTGCATGATGAAGATCCAGCGCCACCCAGCGATTCCTGGAAGTCGGCCCGATGGAGCGGTAGGGTTCGCTGCTGTTGGACCGTAGCCTTGTCCGAGCCTGTCGCCAGAGCCGAGGGTGTTCATCTGCATGAAGCCGTACGACAAGATGCCAGAGAAAGCAGATGCCATGCTGCCGATGAGGTAGAACACGGCATTACGCTTCTGTAGCTCGTAACGTGGGTACCAGCACGATAGAAGGTAAGCGCAGCCTGTAATGTGTGAGCGTTGACGATGCAAGATGCTTGAGTGCTTACCAGGGAAGAATCCGGCCTCAAGCACACCGAGAACGAGTCGAAGCGGGATCATCTCCCACCATTGGTGCACAAAGCCAAATCCGATGGTGAGGATGCCCCAGGCCAGGCAGATTGTGGGCAAGAACAATTTCGGGCCCATCTTGCGGAGGATAACTGTCGCTGGTGGCTGCAAGAAGACGTACGTAAAGAAAAAGACGAGCGTGATAACGCTGTATCTCGCGCCGACGGTGAGTCTAAGGTCGACACCCATGCCAGCGACCACAGCGATACCTCTGCAAAGTATTAGTGCGTGATCATTTTCGGGCAGAAGGCGACGCACAAATTGGTCCTGTCCATGAGACTGACACAGTACATGAATGCAAGGGTTAGCACCAGCCGGCGATCAATACGCCGTATGATCTTCTTCTGCTCCTTCTCACTAAAGGCCTGAATACGTGCGTCATAGTCATCGGAGTCGGAGGGACTGTTGGCTTCGATGCGCTCATCGCCCAGCGCCTGCGCCTTCTCTTGGTCGTGAATAGCCATATTGAGTGGTGTACGTAGCTGGAAGAGACGAGCTGGTCGCCATATTCGCGGAGCAGGTATACCAGATACATATATCCTACGCAGGAAAGATCTGATTCGTACAAGCTCGCTTCGTTCCCCAGATTTGCACTTCAGCCAAGCGCAGACCAAGACCAAGTCGTGTCAGTACCCCGTGCCCACTATCTTCGCCATGTGTCCCGCATTGGGGATTGGCGGGGAAAGTGTGTCAAGAAAATCTGCCAAGCTAGCCAGACCGTGGGCTATGCAAAGCAAGTCGATGTGGCGGGAGGAACGAAGCTTGCTGATTCGCCAGGAGCAATGCGGCGGACTTGGCGTTTTCTTGATGTAGCTGTTGAGAAGATTGGCAAGCCATGATGCCAGACACACGACTCAGAATCGTGAAAGTACCGAGGCTCAAAGCAAACTTTGAGATCTTGATTCGCTTCTGGCCTCGGTGATTGCAGCATGCAGCACGGTTGAGCACGTGTCTCCGTTAAGTAACTTTCGCGCACACAGATTTGCTGTGGAAGCCGGCTTGGTCTTGCGGTGTTTGAGCCGGTGCAGTCGCGTGAGTGACGGAAGAGACCCGGCGATGCCGATGCATACGTGTGGTGTGGCGAACGTCAAGCATTCGAGGGGCGTCTCATATAAGGCTGTCAATAGGCGAAGGAGGCTCGATGTGGCAGACTTGGAATAGTCTGACCGCCGTCCCCTTCGAGACAGGCCTGGGTAAACTAGGCTTAAAGCCGCTGGGAACAGCAACCTTTGCCTCCTTGTTTGTACTCTGAGCCCCGTGTAGAACTCGAGAGTACTACTACGAAAAATAGCCAAGACCAAAATGTTCATTCTCGATATCATTATCTATATTTTAAATAGCTCAGTCAATATAAGAGCTAATTCAATAAAAAAACTACTACTAGGTGCCCTAGCTCCTATATTTTATAGCTAGTATTAAAAAAGTAGACTAGCCTAATCTAGACTAGCTAGAAAACCTACCCATCATTGAGGTTCAGGTTGATCATCAACCTGCCAAGCCGCCCATAC